TACAAAGTTAAAGGGAACACATTGACACTGGCTGCATGCCATAGAGGACACAGCAAAGCTCTAAGAAGCTTCAGAGAATCAGATTAACTCCGTCTCTTTATACACACACACACACACACACACACTGTTTTTCACACAAGTGTTAACATTAAGGAAATGAGCTCTTGGCCTATCAGTGGCTATTTCTTTAAAGGCTGGTAGAGCATGCACACACACACACTGGCACTTGCTACACTTGGCAGTGACCACAGTGGCCTGATTTTATTACTGCTCTGTAACAGAGTTGGTGTTTGGTCCGGATGGTTTTTGGACTATGTTGGATTTGAGTTGAAAAACATGATAACTAGTGTTTGGTTTCTGTGCCATTATCATGAAAATAATGTTTTCATACTGTTGTAAATCAGACCTACTGTATCCCTGCGCACATGCAGTCAGTGAACACTGGGAGTCTCTGTGCAGCACGTGCAGTTCCCAGGGAAACTGGCCACTGAGTCAGTTGTGCCAGCTCTGCGACGAAACTGAATCCCAGGCATTAGAAAGCGTAACGTGTCCAAGTCTACGTCTACGATTATAGAAAAAAACTGAACTGTTTTTAAGGTTGGAGTCGAGGTCGGCTTTTATTCACTCCCTCAAATCATTCATGAGAAATGACGAGAAACATTCTAAACCAGCCCAAACTCAGGGTCTTACAGTTTTGGGAAGATAATTAGTAGTGACTGACTTCCCGGGGTCTGTCTGGCACCAGGCACCGTGTGACTACTAACCTCAAGAACATCATGATGAAAGGGTTTTACCTCGTTGTAAACTTCCTATACGGGGAGCAGGCGTTAGCTACTGTGGTGCTACTGTAGTACTACTGTAGTACTACTGTAGTACTACTGTAATACTACTGTAGTGCTACTGTATTACAGCTTCCCACCGTGACAATCACCTTCACCATCTTCTAGAATCATTCCACTTCCATTTCCATTTTCGGTTATGTAAATAATTTACCTCTATCCACACTGGTTTGTGACAAGTCGTATTTCATTTCTCCGTTGTATACCTCCATACAGGGTGTGTTCTGAGTTTCCATGTTTGTTTGTCTGTGTTTTGTTTAATGACTGAAGACGTGTTACTACATGACAGTATATGAAGGGTATAGAGCAGGGCTGAATACTAGCATTTCAGGTCTTTTCACTCTAACGTAGTGTTTGTGTGTGTGTATGTTGTAATTCCCCACGGTGGTTAAACCACTTTCCCATTAGTGAGCGTAGATGAGAAGAGATTAGCATCATTAAATTGCTGCATGAGATCCTCAACCTGCCTCGGTGTTTTTCCCAGCGATGCCTGTATGTCATCTGTTTCATACAGACGTTTATAGGCTATTTATAGCTGCCACTTGTGTGCCCTTAATGTGTGTGTGTTTGTGTGTGTGTATGTCTGTTCACACGTGTGCAGCCTGAGTCTGCGTCTTAGCATGAATGATGTATGTGTGTGTGTTCAATGTTTGCTGTTTCAATCAATGTTATAGATCTGAGCTTTTGTTAAAACATCTGCCTGGGTCTTCGCCCAGCTGAGCTGTGGTTTAAATGTGTGTGTGTGTGTGTGTGTGTGTGTATTGATTATGTATAGCTGGTCTATTGTCTTGTCTCTGTGGCTCAGTGATCGATTTCTGCTTTGCATTTTCTCTGTATGTGTGTGGAAGACTGGTTTGTCTGCTCTGGTTCAACACTGAGACTGTCCAGTCTTTCGAGTGTCTTCAGTTTTTTCAGGTAGTTTGGTCTAGTGAGAGTGAAACAGTCATAAGTATTAGTGGCAATAATGTAATAATAATATTATTAGTTAGTTCTTTAGTCGCGTTGCGTCTCCACTGTTTGAAGGAGGTCAGAAAACACATTTCAGAAATTTGCAGTTCCATCTTATGCCTGCAGTGGCCACACGTTGGAAGCGTTGTTAGTTCTTTGTGCTCTGAAGCAGGAAGACGTCTGAAGCTGGCCCAGTGTAGGGACGTCTGTCCGGTGAACTGTCCAGTGTGTAGCCACATTACCCAATGGCTTCTGGGATTGACCCCAGCTCCCACTTTATCCCTGAAGATGATGAAGTGTTAGAAGATAAATGAGGATCTAAGCCTTCAAAGATTGGTGGCGTCGTCAGATGAGTAGCTCGATCATCTCACAGTTAGGGTCTTCTCCCATCCTTATTGTAACATGGCCTACATCAATTCCATCCTTTGTCTTGTATGGATCATTATTGATTAAATCAACTGTATTGATTCTTATGGTTAAGGATTTATGACATTCATCAGTCTATCAATCCATCAGTCTATCCTTTTGGAGCCAAAGACACAAAGAAGTAATTTCTTTAGTTTATGAGCTACATATTATGTTGTTTTGGAATATTTAGTTGGAGTTACAGCCTTCCATTCAGATTCAGTTAAGCTAATCAGCGTTATTCAATGCTGTCAGAATGTTATTGCTTCAAAAATTAACAACCTAAAGTAGACAGAGCTGAGATGTAAATGCTTTCATTAATTATGAATTGACTCCTAACAGCAGAAATGTGGCTGTTCAGGAAGTCATTAGTGGGGCTAATAAATGAGTGTCTAAAAATGGTCTGTGGAGTGGACTATACAGTACAGAAGGCCATCATACCATTAGGGTTAAACAGGGACTGGGTTTTTTTTTCAGGAAGTTGATGAAGAGCTCAGTCTGTTTAAAAAATGTCCTCACATTAATTGGGTCCACCTGTCTGCTATGCTCCTGAGAAATGTGAGCTAAAGTTCATAAAATGTTTCCTGGATGTTCTTCCTCCTAATGAGAGTGGTGATGAAAAGTTAATTAACGTAATGGAGGAAGGAGTGACATTTGCAAAACACAGCATTTGAAAGCCAGAGGTCTGGACGAGGGTACTCTGAATAAAAGTCTTCTCCATTTGGCAGAGATCTTTCTTTCTTTCTTTCTTTCTTTCTTTCTTTCTTTCTTTCTTTCTTTCTTTCTTTCTTTCTTTCTTTCTTTCTTTCTTTCTTTCTTTCTTTCTTTCTTTCTTTCTTTCTTTCTTTCTTTCTTTCTGTCTCTCTCCCTCTCTCTCTTTCTCACTCTCTCTCTCTCTTTCTCAGGTGGTTACACTTGACACTCCTGACCTATAAATATTGCACTCTAAAGGCTGATTTACACCAAATGCAAACTGAAAGAAAGGACAAGAAGAATGACCCCCCGCCCATTTACGATGCAGCTGCGTCTGTTTTCGAGTGGTTGCACACACACACACGCACACACACACACACACAAACACACACGGTCCATTGTCCACAGCCAACACACTCCTCCTAGTCCATATCCAGTTTATGTTAATAATTGGCTTAAACAACACTCATTCGGTGTGACTGTGGCTCCTTCTGTATTAACATCAATGTCAAGGTCACAGGCGTTGATTAAAAACACTCATCCGTCTGCACAACACTAAGGTTGTTTGGCTAGAAAAAAAAGGCTAATATTTTTAAGTCCTTCCTAGAAACCCCTTTACTGCCTGACAGAATGTAAAAGGCTGTTGTCAGCTCTGTGGTCTGTTTCTTAAGCACCACAGCGTTGTGCGGTGAGAAACCCCTTTACTGCCTGACAGAATGGTCTGTGGTGGTCTGTTTCTTAAGCACCACAGCGTTGTGTGGTGACGGGGTTACTGATGTGTTTGTGGTGGTGGGTGTGGTTCACGCATGAGAAAGAGGGCCCATGTGTGGGATGAAGATAGTACAGTAGATGTTTTGAAAATGTGTGTGTCTTTGTGTTGTGCCCACTGACCCAAAGCCAAGTCCGGGGTCGTTTGGGGATTTTCTGTCGCTTCACACACACGTTGTGTGCTCGTCTTTGTCGTAGCATCCCGACGGGAGTTTCTTGTGTGGTCTCAATTTGCTTTCTCAAGACTTACCCAGGGGGTTAGCATGTGGAGAGGGAGCGCTGCTGCGCCAATACTGCTGTCTCAGAGGTTTTCTACAGCTTAAAGTGATTACCTCTAGTCTGTGTTCATTGTGTTCCACGGAGAGCCTCAGATTAACAGCTGGGCTGTGCAACAGATCTGCTTTATGTACATTGTGTTATTGGAGAGACCAATATATGGTTCAAATTTGAAACGTCATGTCACTAGTTTCACATAGCAGTGACAAAAAGGGTTAAGTTGGTTAGTCATTTTTTATATATTGTAGTGTTCATTAACAGTAAGTTACTGTAATATTTATTTACTGTATATTTAAGTCGGTTCCATAGTGTAGCGGTTAGCACGCCTGCCTCAGAAGCAGAGAGTCCTGGGTTAGATTCCCAGAGGAACCACATGCTTGGGCGCTTTAGCATTGTTTAGCATTGGACTTCAAAATCTTGAACCTTGATTTGTTAAATTGTGTATGGAAAAAAATCCGTTTGTTTCACAGCGTTGGTTTTGTGCCAGGTCACCAGGCATTTGCTAATGTTTTGGGAACACAGCATATTTACCAGCCCAAACTGCATTAACAGTCATTTTCCTGTAGGCATTCTGCCTCACTTCTGGCAAACCTCCCAAAATGAACTTCCATTTAAATACTTAGTCCCCATTCTGTCAATGTTTTCAAAGACACTGTAAGCTGTTTTACTCCTTTGGATTCATCTGCTCAGGGATTACTTTACAGATGGGATGTCGGGTTGAAAACAATTAACTCTTGAACTCTATCAAAAGCAGAAGCCTGGCAGAACACTCAGTGCTGAGCAGCAGGATTTACATCTTCTGTAATAAGTGACTGATGAACCTACAGCAGGTTCACGTTCATCACTGTCCTGTCTCTTACATCGTCTGAAAACTGTCTCTCATTTTAAAGCTCTTTAATAATTTTCTGGACGTTCTCAAACTGTGTAAATCATCACTCTTGATGTCTGTTTTGTCTTTGAGCCTATAATGAATGACGTTAATTTTTCTCACCTTTTCAAATTTAAATTTTAAACATGTTATCTGACTGATGATTTGACTCATGCTCTTCCTTCTTCTTCATCTCCTCCTAGGATTCGTCCTCAGATGGCCAAGGAGAAAATTGAGGGCTGTCATGTGTGCACACTGGTCACTCCTGGGGAGCCACAAGTGCTGCTGGGAAAAGACAAGGCCTTCACCTATGACTTCATGTTTGACATAGACTCAGAGCAGCAGTGCATCTACCACAGCTGTGTCCACAAGCTCATCGAAGGCTGCTTCGAGGGATATAATGCCACTGTCTTCGCCTATGGTCAGGTATGACAGTAACATCAGGCCAAGTGTTACTTACTCCAGCAACAAGGAATGGGAATTGATAAGAATTTACAGATTCTGTTTTTTTATTATCAATATGAATTATTGATTCAATGAATTCATTTATTTAATATTGCTGGTATTGTAAAATTCAAGTTTTATATTCAAGATGAGTACATAATGTAGCGCTGACGTAAGCTGTCTGTCAGCTACAGTCATGCCGTCTGCTTCTTCTTGGCAGCACCAATAAATGTCAGTGCTGACTAAAACCTGTTCAAAGCTCCCTGTGTTGGTGGATTGTTTTTCAGACTGGCTCTGGGAAGACGTACACCATGGGAACAGGCTTTGACATGAGTCTCAGCCAGCAGGAGCAGGGCATCATCCCACGGGCTGTTCACCAGCTGTTTGACGGAATCCAGAGGAGGAGGACAGAGGCGCAGGAGGGTGGATTTCAAGCACCTGAGTTTAAAGTCAGCGCCCAGTTCCTGGAGGTGGGTGAATGTTGGATGTACAGCACCTGTAAATCCAGGTTGCAACACACACACACACACCTTGTTTGTGCTCCTCTGATATTCTTTTGCATCTCTGTGGCGAGATGGTGGGATTTCGGTTCATATTAGTGCAGTCCAGATGCAGTAAAACAGGAGGAACGAGGGAATCAACCCCCGCCTCAACAAACAGGAAGTGACAACCTGATGACAGATGGCAGGGACGTCTGCCCGCGCTTTGTTGGACCTGATTAATGTTTGCCATTACCTCTGACATTATTCCTCATCACTGTTGGGTGGGAGATAGATCAGAGTGGGGGAGGGCAGGTGGAGGGACAGAGGGAGGATTGTGTAGGACCAATGAAATAATTTGACGTGATGTAATGATTTCCTTCCTGTCAGGCAAATGTTTGGGTTTTGGGTTGGGGGAGGGCGAGTGTATATATGACCGTGTGGGTATGATGTGATTACTTCAACACAGTAATATTTTTTTCTGCCCTGTTTCCTGTCTTTATAGTCCGTCTTGGTTGTTGGTGTGTTTTTGAGGCTGTCTGGTCACAAGGTTATCTCTGGTAATGATAAACAGATGGCTGTGTAAGGAAGCGGTTTGGATGGATGGATGGATGGATGGATGGATGGATGGGGGGGATTAGGTGGGAACAGCTGAGCTTTGGTTTGACCTCTGTGTCTCTTGCCCTTATTAGTTTTGGGGGGGGTCATTGAGTGACCTTTCTGACAGCAGTGATGTTTGTCCAACGGCTTATCACAATAAGACAACAACATTTAAATCCTATTACATTGTAAACAGATTTATTTCAATTTGCTGTCTTGGGGTTTATTCATGTTATAAATTCAATCAATAACTCTTTTCCTTTTTGTGTTAATGTTTTTTACTGATTTTTATGCAGTTGTACAATGAAGAGATCCTGGATTTGTTTGACGGAGCCAGAGATCCAGACAGTAGGAGCAGAAAATCCAACATTAAGATCCATGAAGACTCCAGTGGGAGCATCTACACAACTGGAGTCACATCCAGACTCGTTCACTCAGAGGAAGAGGTGCGCATCTGTGGCTTTTCATTTCACTTTTCACAAATAACAGAGTTCCTAATTAATCTAATTAACAGACCTTGAAAACGTGGTTTGTTACATCATCTGTTACTGTACCATTTAGTCTGAAACTGTTGACACTGAGTGTTCAAAAAATTAAATGCTGGTTGCCTTAAGATGTTTCTTTTCTTTTTCGTTTGTTAAAGTACCTCTCGGTCACCTGACAGTACTGGCTGAATAGAACAATAACATTTTAATGTCAGCATCAAATCACAGCCTGTAATAGAATATGATCGTGAGACTCGATCTACTATGTATTTGATGAGGCTCCTGTGATTTTTAGATTTTTCTTTTTCTTTTAATATCTCAGATCAATACCATATTCAAATTACTTGTCTACAGTACACGCCATGGAAGCAAAGAAGGCTTTTCTTCCACTATAAATATAGACAGATCTATTTTGAGCATCTCTTTTTTTTGGAAAATGAGCTACAATACAACAACGTAAATAAGAAACTAGAGTTCCAGCAAAATATTCCAGGGAACTGGAGGTCAAATCTGTGAGTCTTGTTTCACACACACACGTATCAAATGGGTAAAAACTGTTAAGACGAGGAAGTGACAGTTTGGAATAAGGAGTAGGTGAAGGGGTCAGGAGGTCGCTGGGATGAATACCTGCAGGAAGATAAGTGACAAGGCAGTGACACATAGGTGAACAGGAAGAACAAATGTTAACGCCTAAGACAGACAGAGACAATGATGTTGTTGACGTTTTGTTTGTTTATTTAAATGTTCGACAGAGAAACAGAACTGTTTTATTGACATAGAATTGAAAAGTAGAACGTCTAGATAGCCACAAGCTTCACAAGTTTAAAGTGTGCGTTTGTCTTTGCTGCAGCTGCTGCAGTGTCTGAAGCTGGGCGCTCTGTCCCGCACCACAGCCAGCACTCAGATGAATGCCCAGAGCTCCCGCTCACACGCCATCTTCACCATCCACCTCTGCCAAATGAGAGTCTGCCAGCAGATGGTAAGATCTGAGAGTGAAAGAATTAAGTTAGCATCAGCAACTTTAAAAAAAAAAATCTGCATTATAAAACAGACACTATATTTTAGACCATTTTCTAAATCTGGTCTGTATCATGTGCTCATTTCCACAGCAGAACGGAGGAGGGGAGAATGGGGAGGTGAACGGTGAGGTCTCCAGCCCCATTGCACAGCCAGAGTATGAAACACTGATGGCCAAGTTTCACTTTGTGGACCTGGCTGGTTCTGAGAGACTCAAACGTACAGGAGCCACAGGAGAGCGAGCCCGTGAAGGGATCTCCATCAACTGTGGACTGGTGAGAAACTGTGTGTCTCACACTCCGCTGTAGGACTGTCCCAAACAGGGACGAAGCAGAGAATATATACAGCCAGTTTAATTTCCTTCTCAAGACAAAATGAAATCTCTGTAAAATATCAATGAAACAACTGATAAAATAAATACAAATAATATAAAAAATAAAGATAAGAATACATAGCTTTATAAAAATAAGATACTTTCTCAATTGTTAGCTGAACAGAAAGTCTATATATCTATGTATATATATATATATATACACACACACACACATATATATATATATACTGTATATATAACTGTATACAAACACAGGTAAATAAAGTGTAACTCAAACTGTGTAACCCTATTAGCAGTCAAATAGTGATGGAGGTAATGAGGCACTGAACTGCAGTAGGAGAACACGGCTGTCCAGTCAGCAGCTGGTTGTAGTGAAGTTACAGAGTTTCACGTAACTGGATATGCACATGTTTTCAAGTGGGAATATTTGAACGAAGTATCGGCCTGATTCCAACATTTGTATTCTTGCACCACACGTTTTAGACTTGTTTTTTTTTTTTTTAAACAGAAGATTAAATTTGTGTGTGTTTACCCATGTGTGTCTCACAGCTGGCCCTTGGGAATGTGATCAGTGCTCTGGGAGATCAGGCAAAGAAAGCTGGGCATGTTCCCTACAGGGATTCCAAACTGACTCGTCTGCTGCAGGATTCACTGGGAGGCAACAGGTACAGAGGCACTCACACATGCTTGTATCCATGTCTGTTATTTGGTTGTGAACCATCAGGTGATAGCTAATGCTCTCTTTCTGCCCTCTTTAGCCGTACAATGATGATAGCCTGCGTCAGCCCCTCAGATCGAGACTTCATGGAAACTCTGAACACACTAAAGTACGCCAATCGTGCCCGAAACATCAAGAACAAGGTGGTGGTGAATCAGGACAAGACCAGCCAGCAGATCAATTCCCTTCGTGCTGAAATTGCCCGACTTCAGTTGGAGCTGATGGAGTACAAGGCGGTGAGTGTTGGCCGGGTGTGGGAGTGGGTTAGGGGATGGGGGGGGGGGGGGTAGAGAAGAACAAATTCAGTCTTAGAGTAACTTAAGAAAAAAAGAAGAGTTGAAAAGGAGAAGAGAGGAGGTGTGAAAAATGAAATCTGACAGCGTGAAGAGAGTCATCTCTGTCAGCATTACTGATGCAACGAGTTTAAAAAATGGATGAAAGAAGGATGATGCTGGGAATAGTAAGTGTCTACTACTGAGGAGGGACAAGACAATAGTGAAATAAAGACATAAGAATGTCATATAAAAATAGAAACAGTGACCAAGTTCAATGTCTGTTTGATAATTAAACTGCTCTCCTTTACTCTGAAAGTAATGTGTTTTTAATTTATCTTTATCTATTTCTTCAAATTTGATTGGAAACCTTATAAACCCCTAATGTTTTTTACTAAACTCACTGCCCATCAGTGGAACGATGACGTCTGACGTCTCCATCCATACACTAGACTGCATACATGACTGTTAACCCAGAACAAATGCTGTTGTTGTGTCAAGTCTCAACAGAGATATTTCTGTCAGCTTTTTTTTCTATGTTTCTCTGTAGATAAATTAAAAATTGAATGAATTTTAGAAATCCTAATGAAGTAACAGCATTTAAATCGGATTTATTGCTAGTAATCTTCAAAGCTGTCTAACAGCTGTTATTGCCAAGAGCTGTGACTTTTCCAATTAGGGTTAAAAATATCTTCAGAGAAATTTCTGATCCTCAGTTATGTAAATTATTTACCTCTGCTTCAAACACTGCTCATTTTATTTTGTTCCACTGGTTTTCAAAAGACTTTAGCTGTTTGCAAATTTCAAAACGTCCAGATTAGCTCCGTTTCAAAACCAGCTATCAGGACATTCCTACTTATAGTTAGAGCCAGTCAGTGGTGTCATTTAAATTCAACCAAAAAAAAAAAATCAACATCTATCAAAAGACATTTATCAGAATCTGTTTACTGGCTTTTATGAAATCTGTGTTTACATCTGTGCAGTAAAATAAATAAAAATCCAGGAGCACGTTGACCACTAACCAGGTCAGCGTATTTACTGGGTTCACCAGCCAATGTAGTGTAACATCATCAGTGATGTGACTACGAATTGCAGTTATTTCTGCTGTATTGATAGTGAATGATATGTTGAGTGGAGTTGTTAGTGAAGTTAGTGACAACAGTGACGTATGACTGTGATGAGGAACTGGAGGCTGACCTCGAAGTAGTCACACTAGAGAGCAGACACAGTGGTGTGTTGAACTGAGCTGGAACTGGAGCCGTGGCCTGAAGTAAATAGTCCTCCCTCTGTGTAGAGAATTACACAACAGGATTATTTCTGAGTTAATCATTCAGAACACAATAATCGTAGAGCAGTCACAAACTAACCACCTGATTTAAAGAAATGGTATTGTGTGCTCTGGGGACTGCACTTTTAGTGAGACATATTTTGGATTGTTTTCAGTCGCCTCTCCTCTGACTCTCTTCTTGTTATTCATGCTGTTCGCTTGTCTCTGCAGGGGAAGCGTGTTGCATGTGAGGACGGTTCTGAAGGGTTTAGTGACCTGTATCAGGAGAACACGATGCTGCAGAGAGAAAATGACACGCTGCGCCTCAGGGTAAAAGCCATGCAGGAGACCATAGACCACCTCAATACACGGGTGACACACCTGCTGGCCAATGAGGTCAGCAGTCTGCTGGCTAAGTCAGGTACGTGAGAGGAATGTGGACTCGTCCTTATACCATATGTGTTTTCTCTATGTTGACCTTGTCTTCCTCATTCCTTTTTTACCGAAGCCTGTCATTGTCATTATCAGTTTCATATTCTTGTTTTGATTAGTTCTTTTTGTAACTTGAACCTTCTTTGACCTTTTAACCTCCAGGTGAGAACAATGAGGAGATTGGATCTCTGGTCCAGAACTACATCCGAGAGGTTGAAGAACTCAGGTAAGATCTAAAAACCATATCCATGTGCTGGAGGAAACCTTCCACCTTGTTTTACTAAATAACAACAATGCATCAAAAAACCAAAAAAAAAAACAAAACTAAAATATGATATTTTCTTATTCTGTGACCTTTCATTAGATCATATGATATGTTCTTATTCTGTGACCTTTCATTAGATCCAAGCTTCTGGAGAGTGAGGCCATGAACGAGTCCCTGCGACGGCAGGCCACTCGGCTTTCCTCTCGCTCACCTTTCACCTCCTCCTCCACCCTCAGCCCTGGCCTGGGCCACCCCCCTGGTTCCTCACCCGCCCCCAAGTCCATGGAGGCTGAGATGACAGATGTCCTACGTCGCGCTAAGCTGGACATCGAAAGACTGAAGAAGAAAGAAAGGAGACAGAGGAGAATGAGGTGAAAAAGAGAACCATGTTACCACAACACTATACATGTCTAAAAACCTCACAAGTCGTTTAAATGACCGGCACGATTCGTTTCTCACGCAGTCCTGAATTAGAGAAAGGCCTGAAGAAACGAGTGAAGCTGCACAATCATGAGAATGGAGAGAACGGACAGATTGGAGCAAATGTACAAAACGGACAGAACGGAGAGATCGATTCTGACGACAATTACATCGAGGTAACGTTTGTCAACATTCACCACACAAGAATCAAAGCTAAGATACGAGGTTCTCACCAGTTGTTTGTGTGTGCAGGACATAATGTCTCCGCTGCAGGAGGAGAGTGGCTGTGATGAAGACGAAGGGGAGGATGAAGAGGAGGGCAGGGAGGAGGATGAGGAGTTTGACAGTGATGAAAGCTTGGTGGATTCAGATTCTGACTCAGATGAGAAAGGTGACGTTTGTTTTCTGACAGCTAGTCCTTAATGTTTCTGGTAGTAAAAGCTAGGATTTCAAATACAAAAAAAACACAAAAGTGTAAATTTTGTTTTCTGACCTTTCGCCCTTCACCTGCAGCTAATTTCCAGGCAGACCTGGCAGACCTCACCTGTGAAATCGAGATCAAGCAGAAGCTGATTGATGAGCTGGAGAACAGTCAGCGGAGGCTGATGATGCTGAAGCTGCAGTACGAGGAGAAGCTCATTCTGCTGCAGAACAAGATCAGGGACACGCAGCTGGAGAGAGACCGCGTGCTGCAAAACCTCAGTGAGCATCGTGGGATTGGAAGCTTGAAGAGTTTATGTACAAAGTGTTGGTAAAACTGAACTGATTTTGTCTCATTTATATGTCCACAGTGTCTATGGAGAACTACACAGAGGAGAAGGCCAACCGTATCAAGCAGGAGTATGAGAAGCGTCTGAAGGAGATGAACCGCGACTTACTGAAGTTACAAGCAGCGCAGAAGGAGCACGCGCGCCTCCTCAAAAACCAGGGGAGGTACGAACGAGAGCTGAAGAAACTTCAGCTGGAGGTCAATGACATGAAGAAAGCAAAGGTAACTCAGGGCCGGAAACCTTTTTGTTGAGATGGAATATTAGAGATACAGCAGTTTCACATGGGCTCTTTTTTGCCACCAGGTGGCACTGATGAAGCAGATGAAGGAGGAGCAACAGAGGAGGAGGATGGTGGAGGCCAAGAGGAACCGTGAGATTGCACAGCTCAAAAAGGAACAACGCCGACAAGAGGTCAGTCACAGCAACTACTGTACTGAGTCCGTGTCTGTCAAACATATCTTCAACATTTCGATTCTCACATGAAAGTTAAAATTATGAGTCAATTTCAGATTCAACAAATGTCATTTTGAAAGGGGTGTTTTTTGCATTACAATATCCTCAGTAATCACATAGAATTTTACAGCAGCAGCTTGTGTTCAGACCAGCATGTCAGCATCCATGACAGGGTGCTAAGTGGTAAACTCATTCAGTAACTAACTGTGTTTCTCACTCGCTCTAATCCATTAGTACCAGATCCGGGCACTGGAGTCTCAAAAGCGACAGCAGGAGATGGTGCTACGCAGGAAGACCCAGGAGGTCACGGCCCTGCGGCGTCTGGCTAAACCCATGTCCGACCGTGTAGCCGGACGTGTGGCACGATGGAACCAGATTGCACAAAGTACTGACTCTGGTGCTGAGTTGTCAGCCAGCACTACAGCGAGCAGCTCTGAACCGGACAGCAGCAGGACTGTGAGTGGACTCGTGAAACACTGGAACAGCAAGAATATGTCTGGATACCTGGGTGAGAGTGAAGGGGGCGTGGACGGAACAAGGGCCAATGGGTAAGATGTAGGACTCTTGCAGTACTTTTATATTGTGCTTAATGGCACAATTATAATTATATTTTCTTATTGTGATAGCTTGTGACCCACGACTTATTGTTTTAGATGGCACAACAACCAATAATTTATTGCTGACTCTGACAGGTTGGCTGGCTGTTTTATGATTTTTTTATTTTTTCTTGCAGGATCAGGAAGAACTTGCAGCGAAAACCAGTAGGTCTGGGTCACAGTGGACCGACCGTCAGAGTAAACAGCTTCTCCAAGTCTGCTCGCCAGAAGTGGCAGTCACTGGAGCGACGCATCATGGACATTGTTATGCAGAGAATGACCATCTCTAATGTTGAAGCAGATATGGATCGCCTCATCAAGGTAGGAACAGAACTCAGTTCAATTGGCATACAAAGTTGGGCACTGTTATTATGTTAAGTTATTAAAACACTGGTCTTGGGTTTTTAGTATTTTTAAGTAGTTGTTCAAAGTCACTGTTATCTTCCTGCTAACCTGCATTTGTCTTCTGTCGAGTCAGAAACGAGAGGAGTTGATTGGTCAGCAGGAGGCCCTATCTCATAAAAGAGAGGTGCTGATGGCTGATGGGGAGGGGCCTGAAGCAGAGGACCGCCTCCTCCAGGAGGTTAATGAGGAGATCGAGGTGCTGAACGCCAACATAGACTACATTAATGACAGCCTGTCTGACTGCCAGGCCACTATTGTTCAGATTGAGGAGACTAAGGTAAAAAACTCTACACACTCTACACACGCCTTAGACAGGTGTATACACTAAGGTGATGTTTGGTTTTGTGTGCGTCTCTAGGATGAGCTGGACTCGGTGGACACCTCCGTGGTGATCAGCTCCTGTTCCTTGGCTGAAGCACGCACCCTGCTGGACTATTTCCTCAAAGCTTCTATAGACAAGGTGAATTAACGGAGAAAAACACTGACGCACTGTAATCAATACATTCTGAAAAGATGGTGCTACCGAAATGTCATTTAGGTTTGATTCCCAGAGGAACTTAATGGCGCCTCTTGTGGCAGCCTCTGTCGGTTACAAACATTAAAACTGTAAAATTTCCCCATTGTGGGATGATTAAAAGATTTAATTATTATTATGACAATTATATTGCAATGTCAAATGTAATGCGCTGTAGAACTACACTATTGTCGGTGTCATCTAGTGTCGTTTTTTTATTGCAAGGTATCCTCTTGTAGCATGCTAATTAAAACAAAACAAATAATAAATGTCCCTCAGAATTAAAAACAGCCATGTGTTCAGTTCCACTTCTGTACCTGTTGTCTTTGTACCTTTGACTCCGCTGACTATCTGCACATGTGCCTGTTTGCAGAGCTTACAGGTGGCTCAGAAGGAGGCTCAGATCAGACTGTTGGAGGGACAGCTGAGACAGACGGACATGATTGGTTCATCCCACAATCACATGATCCTTGATGCACTGAGAGAAAAAGCAGAGTACATTCCTGAACTCCAGGCCCTCATTCATAATGTGCAGCAGGGTGAGGACTGTGTGTGTGTGTGTGTGTGTGTGAGACACTGGTTTTCCATGTATTGGCATCAGATGTAAAACACTATTAGGTTCAACTGTTGAACTGCAGTACACTTTACAGCTACTCATAGTAACATTCAGGAGTAAAAATGATTTTTCTGACCACACTATACCAGAATGATAGTGTATATTTGTTTTCTATTTTTTTATGTGTTTTCAGAAAATGGTTACACCAGCACTGACGAGGAGCCCTCTGAGTTTAGCCAAGCCTCTGACTGCGGGTGAGGTTTATTTCTGCACTTTACTGTACTGCACACATCCAAACTATGGACTGATATGTTTTTTTTTAATTGTCATTGTATCACATCCAACAAAATAACAGTTTGTTTCATTTAAAAGATCTACAAACAGTCATCTATCTGCACTTTCTTACATGTTTTCTGATGTTGTTCTTTTCATGTCACCCGGATTGTTTTCAGCACGTCTCAAATGAAAGAATCCAACAGCCATGATGATTTCAAGCTGAAGGTACGGCTTTTTATAAACCTTTGTATTTCTTCTCTAACATTTGTAGTCGGCCTCAAAAAACACAACTTGCTGATTCTCCTTTCCAGCTATTCTTAACTGCAACCACAGGATGGCAGTATAAGCAAACACTTTAACAGCCATCAATATTTTTCGTCCTATTTTTTTCCAACCATGCAATCATTTTTTTTTCAGTCGTGCTTAGTTAAATCACACACACAATGGAGAGATGGAACTTTTTATTTCTCATTAATCTGTAACTATTTTATTTGGGAGATTTTCAAGCTGCACATGTTTTTAAATCTGTTTACTGGCTGTGTCTGAATGTCCCTTTGTGCCTAAATTAATTTCATTATGTTGGGATTCCCGCTCCTCGAGGCCCTTCATTCTCATTTCATTTTCTGAATCATGGTTCACTGATAAACAAATAAGGCTCATGTTCTTATCCAGATGGAGCCTCGTCTGTCGGCTCAGATGAAAGCGGTGTCTGCAGAGTATTTGGGTCCCGGCCTGGATCCGTCCTCAGGAGGCAGGCAGACGCATGTAACTAAGTCTCTGGCCTCGCTGACCGACATTCAAGAAGATGGTCTGAGACTCGTGACAGGGAGTCTGGGGCTGAGCGTCCCTGTGCCTTACAACAGGGAGCGGGCGTCACGTACCATCAGCCTCCCTGTCAGGGGACACACCTTGTAAGTCAAGAACCATATGAAAAAGTTCAAAGAATAATGTGATTATATTGTTGTGACCATTAGTGTTTTAAGGTCAGTTTATAAAAAGAAGTGAGGTTTCAGACTGAGGATAGTCCTTTGCTTAGCTGTCACTTTTACTGCTGTGGTACTTACTGTATATTCAGGAAGGAGGAGCTCAACTTTATTGTTAGTGTAAGCTTTTACTCTGAGACACTCGTTAAATCTCCTTAAAATTCCCTTCTACTGTATAAATATTTTGACAAAATCACATCACATAATTTTTTCTGAGAATCTTAGAAAGTCTTTTGTTTATACCAGTGGTTTCTGAATCTCATTGCAGCGCCCCCTTTTGTAGACAGGATTATTGTTCGTTCCCACCACGTCATCAGATTCACAGTTTTTGCTTCATAACTCAACGGAACCTTATTTAAAATAATTCCCCCAAACTCTTTGCACCTTCTGCATCTCCACACCGTTTAATGGGTCTCACCCCCCATTTTGGCATCCACCGGCTTGTAGAATTCCAAAATCCAAACCACACATTCTCCTAAAATATAAAATAAAGCAAAAAAAAGTATCTTTAAATTCTCTTTAGTGGTTTGACTCAGTATAATTAGTTCAACTTGTTAAATATCAACATTAAATTATTCCGGTCTGCCCGCGCTCCAGATCTGTCTCCTTGGGAAAAGGTCTGCTGCCTCACAGATGAGAATCAGGCGTCGTCAAAATAATAGGAGGAAAATCAACTTGCAAAAATGCAACATGCAGGGCTTGGTTTATTGACCCAGTAAAGTTTTACGTTTTTTCTACAATAGTTGGGGAAAAATTACTACGAATTAGTGCATTACTGAATTACAGCGCTGGCTCTGAACTTTCTCTAAAATATTGTCTATATTGCTTGGTTTATTGACCCAGTAAAGTAAGTGTCTTTTTCTACAATAGTTGGGGAAAAATTACTACGAATTAGTGCATTACTGAATTACAGCGCTGGCTCTGAACTTTCTCTAAAATATTGTCTATATTTAGTCACTGTCAACAAGCCTTGTAACAACGAAAGTACAATCTCCCGACAAAAGGAGAAATTATAGGGAGGCGTGTATTTCAGGCTCGTTCCATTCTGCTTCCTCGTATGTTACGATAATTACAGTGTTGCAGATGTTGGAGCAGTTTATTAGCGTTTACTAGCGTCTCCTGTGTTTCCACAGCCCCAACAGATGAGCTCCATTCATCAACAATTATAGATGCATTTCACATCTCTAAATCTTATTCACATTTTCCATGACTTTATATCTTTAGTCAAATTATAGGCGGCAAAATAAACGTGTTGTTCAGTTTTTATTATTATAATCACCTTTGTTTTTTCTTTTTTTTGTATTCATTAATGCAGGGTTTCCTTGTATGAAGTCTCTATAATATTGTCACTTTAGTTCTATTATTATAGTTATTAATAATAGAAACTCGGCATTAACTTATTTGACAGTTTATAAAATATTGCATCATTTATTAAGTATTCATCGCATCTGTGTATTGGTTCATTAATAATTCAGCCACTGAGTCTTCAGTGTATGCTGGAGGCGTCGCTCCATTATCTGCGGCAGCGTTGACCTGCAGAGTCATTTAGGACGTCACAAAGACACCACAGGGCAAGAGAAATGTCTCATATGCCCTAAAATGGACCAAACTTTTAAATTTCTTAAGACATTAGATAAAAACTACTGAAAACCTAGCAAGAGGTCTGACATTTTTTTTGGATCGGAAGCTGCTTTAGGGAGAAAAAACACTGAAATATTCATCAGTCCTTCCAGAGGGTGAAGTCTGGTTATGTGTCGGTTGAAGAGAAAAAAAGTTAAAATTTTTATTTTAGTAGAAAACTTGTGTTTATATCTATGTTTGTTATGCTTATAAACTGTGTGTGTGTGTGTGTGTGTCAGTCCTAGACAGTCTCGTGGTTACGACACTTCACCTATTACGCGGAGGAAATCCTACGACCGTGCGTACAGGTACATGAAACGCTCAAATGCAAACTGTTAAGTAAGCCCATCTGAACTCAGTGAAGTCCTCTGCTGTCATTGTCCTGTAACCTTGTCATCACTTCTTGTCTCTCACCTTCCTCACCCTCCTGTGACTTGTCAGGCCAACTGATTGCTACACTCCCCCCTCCTCACCTCCTCTGAGGACAAGGAATGACCGCAACGTCTTCTCGAGGCTGACCAGCAACCAAACCCAAGGTTCTGCCCTGGACAAGTGAGTGACCCCCTGTGGACAGTTTCTTTACAGTAGAGTGTTTGTATTTTTTTCTACCCCTTTGTCTCCACTTGTCATTCTGTACCTGTAGAAAGAAGAGCACTGCTATAAAGGTTTCATTTAAAAATAGTAGACAGACTACAGTGTACTGTTCATCTGTCAGTGTACATGCTGGTGGACCAGATGGTGTTAATACTAAAAAGCAGGTGTTAAATATCCAGCAGAGACAAACCGTACCTCAGGGTTAGGGTTCGTTATTATCTCTTACAACTGAAGGATTAAAAAAAAAATCCAGAACAAAGTAACTGAGGTGGAAGGTAGCAATATGTCTCTTCTGTTCTGTTTATTTTTTACTCTTTTATTCTATTGTTTTTTTATTCATCTTCCACTATTATTCATTTCTTATTTAATTATATATATTATTTTATTAAGTAATATTAAGTTTAGTTTAATTTTTTTTAAATTTTTAAATTTTTTTAATTTTAGCCAATACAATTTTTCTGTATTCATCGGTAATGTTAGCTGTGTGATGACCTTCTCCATCATCTATCAATTTTCTAAACTACCTAAACAACATTTTTCTTCTTGACCTAACATTCATGAGTGAAAACATCTGACGGCAATGTTGTTTTTTAGATAAATCTATAAAATTCTTCCCAGATCATACAGCCATGATAATAACCTGTTATTTGCAGCTCTTGTTGTCATCTTTGACGTCACTGTTTCTGTAAATCACCTCCTTTCTAATGTTTTTGATACGAGGCTTCGTCCACTACTTCAGACAAAGACAACGCAGATACAAGAGCCGTCTGCAGAAAGCGTCTGGCCTTTTCTTTTACCAGCTGCGATCAACTGAGTCTTTGTGCTTTGACAAATGTCATCAGTTAATGACAGGCAGCATTTGTTCAGTTATGAAGGTTTTCCTCATATTGTATAATGTGGAGCATTTCTTCACCTTATCGAGCTTTGATGTTCACTCAGGATGTGTGTGTGTGTGAATACGTGGATATTGGTTTGCTGTGTGTGTTGGAGCCCATAGGTCCTCATTATTGAGAGTGATGGTAGTAAATTAGTCAGAGCTTGTCAAGCTGCATGCAGCTGTTGTCATTTGTGGCCTTTTTTAATTGACTCACTGTGATAGAGTGGGTGGACGGTCTTAAAGTCTGGAAAAAAAAAAAGCAAGAAAAATTAACAGTTTTTGTTCATCACACATTTGCGTTATTGCATTTCAACAGACTGTTTTTTTTTTTTTGCACTCACATTTCGAAGTGTTAGAGAAGAAGAAAAATGTCACCCTGCTTCATTTTGACAGAACCTGTCACATTTCTACATAATTATAAATCACATTAACATTCAAACTTCACAGCAAGCTAAGACAATTCACATAAAGTAATTAAAAAAACCTGTCAGATGGTTTACTGTTTCACTGTGCTTCAATCGAACGCTTGATTTTTATTTATTTTTTTAATCCACCTTTGTTCTTTCAGCATATACTTTTTATTATTTAGACTCTAAACCAGGTGAAGTCATTTAGGACTGACTCATATTTGAATAGAAAAGTCCTCAGTCTCTTTTAACACATTTGTCTCCTACACTGAATTTTTCATCAGGTTTATCCTGTAAGTCAAATATCGCTTATCCAACAGCCACCACTCTGCACTCTGTGCAGTAAATTCCGAGGAACACGAGGTTTTTCCATCACCTCCTAACGCCGCTCTTCCCTCCAGACAGATCCTCAACAATCTTGTGTTATTATTTCATGTTCAGGGTGTAAAGCACAGACTCCCATGGTGACAGACCTCAGGCCATGAAATATTTACAACCTAATAACACTTTTATTGCACTGTTACACATAAAGCAGCCTCTAACCTTGAGCTATTAAGGTGGTTTGGGTTGTTGTGGCTGTTTTTACTCTTCGGTGAGTTTGAATGACACCGTAAGTGTCTGCATTTTCTCTTCCATTAACCTTGTTTGCTCACATGATGCTTGTTCTTTGCACAAAATCCGGGACTCTGTCTGAGATGTGCTGTAGGTGGAGATTCTGTCAAACAGAAGGACAGACTTGTCGTGTATAGAAGAAAATGATGTGTTCAGTTTGACATATGACACTTCTGTGCATCATTACCTGCTCCTGGACATTTTTATTTTCTTATCTTCAGCTCTTTCTGTTTCCTGTTTTCTATTTTCATTTTATAAAGTTTTGTTTTTGTTTTCGTTGTTGAAAAAATGCTAAATTACTAAGCAACTAAGCAAAACGCTAAGTACTAATACACTGCAAACAGTTAGCTTAGCATTAGCTTAGGTTTACAGTAGAGGCTACATGGATTTTAACCCAGGACTTACTTGAGTGCAGGCAGGAATCCTGACTTATTTAAGTCCTGCAGGCAGGAATCCTGACTTATTTAAGCTATTGGAACACACTTGTATGTTTTAATACCGTGGTGACTTTTTTGGCAGACCCCATACCTTTCTGATCACTGCTGCCTTGAGTTTGCAAATAATAAAACTGATTTGTTTTGAACTGGCAGTTTGCTACTGAACACCCACTTTACATGAGAGACTGAGGGAAAAGAAATAACTTTGCGATAGAGCATCAAGAACGGCCTTGGAGAAACCGTCTTCTTTTTTATCATGAACCGCATTAATTATAAGTTCATGTGAGTCCTTCACCTGGAGCAGTGGGACTGCAGTAGAAAACCCTCTGTTGGATTAGACTCTAAAAAAGCATGCGTTCTTCCATGTACTGTATAGTGTGTGGTCAAGTTTTGAGTCACTCGGAAGTAATTACATTTCCGTTTGTTTTTGGTTCCCTGTTGCTACCCCAGCTCTAAAGTGTGTTCTGGAATCTTCCTGTTTCATTAGCACTGAACGAATCCTTTGGTAATTCACCACGACGTACATCCTCTGTACAATATGTCAGAAAGGCTGATGTGCAAATTGGACATTGTCATTGTTACAGTGACTTATCAAAGCAATGAAAATATGAAAAAGCAAAAGAAACACAAAATGAGCTGAACTCATTCAAAGCTTTAGTCGAGTTTTCATAACCATGATGGTTTTAGATGGTGTTGTGAGCAGAGCAACAGAGTCCATGTGTTTTAGACTCTGTACGTTCCTTTATACAGTAGGGACGGTACTTTGAGCTGGTAGAGATCACAAGGCTTGGCAACCTAGTATCATTGATGTGTTTCTTGTGTAGTGTGTGTGTTTCTTTGGAGGTGGGAGGGCGGCATGAAAAACATCTGCCGACACAGGTCGATACAGCCTGTTCAGTGGTTACCTCACAGTAGTCACTGAACAAGCTTTATTGTGGATGGAGCTTTCCTGCCAGACAGCTCTCTGCTTTAACTCTGAAAGCCTTTTTTTTACCAGTCACTCCTCCCTTTAACCCTCTGCCAGTAACCCTTCTGTCTTTCCTTATCGTGTTTAACCCTCTCCTCTTCCTGCTCCTCCCTCTGCTCGCTCCTCTTCTGCCTCCAGGTCGGATGACAGCGACTCCTCGCTCTCCGAGGTGCTCAGGTAGAGGAACTATGTTGGTCATTCTCTGTGTTTCCCACTTTGCTGTGACTCACCTGGTTTCTTCACCGTTCTCTGTGTTTCCCACTTTGCTGGTAACTCACCTGGTGTCATCCTGTCTTCACCATTGCTGTGACTCACCTGGTTTCTTCACCTCCTTCTCCCCCGAGTTTTTGATGCATGTGGTTCACTGTGTTGTTGCTAAGACATGAATGAACCTTATTACTTTTTACAGACTGCAGTGTTACCTTGAAATATTAGAAAGAAATATTTTACTAGATCCTGTCATAACTGTAGTACTAACAGTATGTTGCCTGTAGTATTTGGTAATTATACGCCTATTATAATACACAGGCAGGAGTGCAGCGTTCCTTGTTTGTTGAAATGTATAATAATTTAGAACTTTGTCAAATGTTGTAATTAATGACAAAAAGAACCATCCACCGGTCTGTTGTTGTATATTTAACCACTCTAAACAGCATTACTGTAAAACCAAAGATAAGAAACCGAATGATCTGCCTTTCAATATGGTCATAACCTCCTGTTCGTGTGTGTCCTCCTCTAGAAACCCCCCCCCACACACATTTAGATTCAGAAACAAATATATATAAATATACAAAACACTGCTTGTTTTTCTCTGTACTGCAGAGAAAACACACGTCAATCTCCCCCGTGTTTTTATCTCGCTGCAGGTCTGTGCATCATCCATTAGCAGCTCTCTTTGAGCGCACGAACAGAGTCATGTCCTCTCTGACAGGAAAGTGAGAACTGCGTATAAATGTCAAAGCATTTGGAAAGAATTCTAAAAGTATCGACACTATTGTTGGCTTTAAGAAATAAAACAAAAATAGAATAAAATAGTTTGAAAAGAAAACAGCTGTAAAAGTTTGAATAGAACAAATAAAAAAACAATTTAATAATAATAAAAATAATAATAATATTAATTGAGGCCCTTATTCATTCCACTGGTGAAATTTACAGCGTGAAGCTGCCAGGGAAGGCTCCATTAGGGATGTGTGGTTCATCTGGGAATTGAACCCAGCTCTCTGCTTGCGAGGCAGGTGTGCAAATGACTGCACTGTGGAACCACTAAAAGGTAACAAAATGTTAAGTAGATGAGCTGGAACTGCTGTTTTAATAAGTAGGATCTTCGTAGACGTAATGACTGTTTTGCAGTCTGAAGGGTAATGAGGTTCATTTGCTTTTTTTCTCCTTTTTTCCCTGATGTTTTAGTTCAAATAAGCCTTTCATGAAGCAAAAAGCAAGATTTTATTCCCTCCATAAAACATTACAGGAGGTCCTCGACTTACATCGGAATTCTGTTCCTACAGCACAACGTAACTTTGCCGTAAGTCGGAACTCACATACGACGTAACCCTGAAACGACATCGTAAACCGAGGACCCCCTGTATTAGCCACAATCTCCCCCTCCCCAGTTCACTCGGCTGGTGTTTGTTTTGGAGCTAAACTTAGCATTAGCTTCCACCTGAATGTTGAGGCTGCTTTATTTCTGAGTGGCTGGTTACCATGGTGTTATGTTTTGAGAATGTTGGCTGTTAGCAGTGATTTCTACCACTTTTTTTTTCGTTTTTTCGTTTTGTTTTTTGGCAGGGGCTGCATGCAGCACTCTTTTACTGGCTGGTTACCAGTTTTTTAGTTGGCACTTTATGCATGTTACACACAGATGTTTTATGTTTAATTATTCATGCAAAATGGATTTGTTTTTCTGCCGAAACCTCGGCGTGTGCAGAGACATAGAAGTGAAGCTAGTTTCATCTCTGGCATGTTTGGTGCACAATTTTATGTTTTTTTTGCTCAGACTGATAAAGAATCTGCTCTCCCCAAAATTTGATGTGTGTAAGCACCGGACCACTTTCCACACTTTTCCAGCTCACGTTTTCCTCACACTCACACTTTAATACCACTTTAGTTACAAGGAAAACCCCCCGTGGGACTAATTTTCCCACATATCTCCTTCCTCTTCTCATCCCTCCCTGCTTTGTCTCACTCTGCTGACTGCTCTGGGCCTTCTGGGACGGTGGTCTGTCAGTCGGACATAGATTTGAAAGGTAGAGGGGGGGAGTCAGCAAGAGAGATTGAGGGCATATTATATGTGAGAAGCTGTGTTTGTGCTTGCATGTGGCTGCGTGAGACAGAGTGGTTCAGTGGGATCTCACTGTTGTACAGTCTTAATTGGGCTGTTGTACAACAAATAGGGGAGCGGGGGGGGTAAAGCTATTGTAGCCCAGAGAGATGGAGCAGGTGAGCTTACACCAGCAGAATGGTGCGTTTGTGTGTGAAGTACATCATCCACTGAGGTTTGTATGAATTTACACAGTCTCTGTGTGACGAGAACAGCTCACAGTACTGCAGAGTACATGTTTATGTTCAGCCAGCACAAACACTCATCTGCCACAACAGATGCATTTGTTTAGATGCTGTGCTGCTGTCAGTGCACATCCAAAGCTACGTAAAAGAAATCCAACATATTGATTTGTGCCCCTGTGTGACCTGTAGGGGTGTGATCAATCCAATTGGTGGGGTGAAGGGAGGTCGTACGGCGCCCCTGCAGTGTGTGTCTGTAGCAGAGGGTCACTCAAAGCCAGTCCTGTGTGTGGACGCTACAGATGAGCTGCTGTTCACTGGATCTAAAGGTATGAACTGCCGAGAAGTGGGTCCCAAACGTTTTTGGCTTTCGACCCCATTTTGACATCACAAACCTCTGGCAGCTGCTGACATACATTATTTTCACGTTTGAATTTAGTACGTTTACTCTTCCTCTCCTCCCTTAGACCGCACGTGTAAGATGTGGAACCTGGTCACAGGTCAGGAGATTGCCACCCTGAAAGGTCACCCCAACAATGTTGTGTCGGTCAAATACTGTCCTTCTTCCTGTCTGGTCTTCTCTGTCTCCACGTCCTACATCAAAGTGTGGGACATTCGTGACTCGGCCAAATGTATCCGCACACTCACGTACGTTTCCTCCCCATGTCTATATTCTAATAGTCGAAGGATTCAAAGCTGTTCTGTAAACATTTGATAGAATTTGTTACTGATATTATTTATAACCTGTATGCTGCGAGTTGCTGGCAAATCAGAGTAAAAGACTGAAAAGAAAAGTTAAGCGAATGTGTAAAAACAATGGTTTTATTGTTGCATTTCACATCTTTAAGATTTTTGTTTTCTCTGTTCTCATTCTATCCATCTCCTGTCTGACTCCACATTTCTTCTTCCCATACTCCCACAGTTCTTCAGGGCAGGTTGTCTCAGGTGATGCATGTGCTGGCACCACCACCCGCACAATAACATTTGCACAGGGTGAATGTCAGATCAACCAGATAGCCCTCAACCCGTCAGGATCTGTTCTGTACGCTGCTGCTGGAAACACGGTTCGCATGTGGGACCTTAACAGGTACAAATAATTTATTACTGACTGAGTCTTCCTATTCATTTATGGGTCAGACCAGCCATTCAAATGCTGATTTAATTATTTAGGTGTTCACTTTTGTTTTATTATTTAATATGTCGGATCCCACTCACATTCAGTGACTCATTAAGGCAGTGTTCACAGTCATCTCTTAGTTCTTTGAGACTTGGAGTGTTTATTTATTTGTTAAAAGAAAGTGTTCGTGCAGCCTGGACTGACCAAACTAACAACCTCGGCACCCCTGAATCTTCAGCCTTATCTTAGAGAAAGCTGTAAAGTGATGCTTTCACATTTGGAGTTAAAAGTTTGGCGCAGGGGCGGTGCCCACATTATTTTGGCACGAGAGGTACCATTCAAATGACAGGGCTAAAGTAATCTGTCTCCATTGAAAAAATGACACATATATACTGTAAAAAGAAAAATCTTTATATATATATATACATATATATATATATATGTATATATATATATATATATCAATATAAACAAAATCTAATAATACTATTATAATAATACTATACTACTGATATATATGTATATATGTATATATCTCACCGTAAAACTCACTGTACACTAAAACAAAACAGATTATTGTCAACTTCCCTGTTGTAGTGTAATAATAATCTGTAAGCAGCGTCCTGGTCTCTGTTGACTCAGTAACTCAGAGGCTAAAGAAGAGATTGTGATAATAATTTCTCTAACTCGACTGGTTGGCAGCCACATATGACCACAAGGTGGTAATTTCACTTCTCACCTCTGGAGGGAAATGATTAAGAGATTTGACACGAAAGTTTAGGCTGTGGGGCTCGGACCAGGTTAATGATACATGAGAGGCCACTTCCAGAAATGAAAAATGAATGTCTTAAACATTTTTCACTCTCATCTCTGCCGACGGCAGCTCTGCGTCTCAGCTGTTTCACTTCACTTGCGAAAGGGAAAGTGATTTTATTCGGCGGCGCAGGCAGCGTGAATGTCTCAAAAGCAATGAATTTCACAGGCTTCTTGCTTCGTCTCCTTTGGTGTGTGTCTTCCCTGGGTGTGTGTGTGTGTGTGTGTCTTTGTGCTTGTGTGTCTGTTTTTGTGTTTGTGTGTGTAGGATGCAGGGAATGGGAAAGCTGACAGGACACATTGGCTCTGTCATATGTTTGACAGTGGGACAGTCTTTGCTGGGGAAAGACCAAGTAATCACTGGCTCCAAAGATCATTATGTCAAGGTACCACACACACACACACACACACACACGCAGACACACACGCAGACACACACACATATGCCAAGAACCATCCACCATGATCACAGGGCTGGAGGTGTAGACAGGTTTTTAAATAATCTCTTTTTTATCCTCTTCTCCCCTCAGGTGTTTGACGTAGCAGAGGGAACTCTGGGTAACGTTGGCCCGGCTCATAACTTCGAGCCGCCGCATTATGATGGCATCGAGTGCTTGGCTGTGCAGGGAGACGTGCTGTTCAGTGGGTCCAGGGATAATGGCATCAAGAAATGGGACCTGGAGCAGCAGGAGCTCACTCAGGTGTGTGTCGCCGTGTGTGTTTGTGTGTTCACCAGGCCTTGTACAACGTACAACACTGTATACTGTACTGTATCACATGTTTATAGACTGATTTGTTTAAAATGAAATCTGGACTCTGAGATTTTAGTTTCAGATCCGACTAAGACCACGTTCATTTGGTCCTAAGTCAGACACATTTACATCTCATGTCTTTAAACGCGACCTCAGTCTGAACAGTCATGTCACATTTCATCAGATTTTCATGTCAGTGTAGTGAGCCAGACATCACTAAAGACAACAAAATGTTAATAATAGACAAACAGATGCAAACTCATTGGAAAGACCAAGACTGTCAAAGTTGAACTCCCTCCACAGACATGAGGTGTCGTGGTGGTGCATCAGTGACCGAGCCAGAGGAGTTGTTTTTTTGTGTCACATCATACTTGTTGTGTTACTCTGTCTATGTGTACAGTATGACACACACTACTGTACAAAAAAGTCCACTTTCATCTATGTTTAGCGTTATCTTTTATATTCTCGGTCGAAACAACGTTGCATCGCTGTCTTCTTCAGAACAGTCCAAATAAGCTTTCTGTGTTTCACATCTTTCGTCGTGTGGCAGTTTAAGCCACAGGAGTCACACTCATACAAACACACATACACGTACGAGGCGAGGAATACGTGTGTTTGTTTCCTCCAAAGTTTCTCAGGGTCAGAAGAGTTAGAAGCAGCATAACTTTAATATTCATTAGGATGTAGAGCTCATATATATTTAAACGCGTCTTCTTGAGTCTGCTCCGGTGAAGCCTGCGAGGGCTGGTGACAACAACCTGCAGGTGGAAATATGCAGGGATTCTCTAAGGTCTTTATTGTGCGACCTCTTGACCCTTGTTATCTGGTGAAAAGCTATTATGTGCTCAGTGTTTGCTGTGCAGATGAAGAGAGTAGCAAAGTTCAGGAGGTTCCACTTTTATGAGACTTGAGGGCGAAACAAGAGTTTAAAGAAGTTCTTCACTGACACTGATATTGTTCTACTATATTTACATGTTGATTTACATATTAATTGCTGAAAATAAAATGTTTTTGGGTCCTCATTTTTAAGGACAAAAAACATTTTTGGTTCCATGTTTTGTAATTAAGTATGAAACAAAAAAGACATTTAAAATGTTTTTATTTTGTTGTGTTCAAAACATTAGGCTGAAATGAAAATGCAAATATTCAAATTATTCATTAGCGTTAAAAGTAATTCTGAGTGGCTTCCTTAAATTCCAAAAACATGAGAGGCAGTGGTGACACAGATGCAGCAGCATCGGCTGATTCTTGTAAAGTAACCACTGTCACATTCGATGTCTAAATCTGGTCAGTCACCATAAAAAGAGGCGAAGTCTAATAAAAGGATAAAACTCCTGAAGCAGCAGATAGAACATATGCCGTTGTTATGATGTCCAGGCCGCTGAAAACTGTTTGAGTCGACATCAAAATAGATTCCAGCGTCTGGCTCGGCGGTGACAGGCGCCGTGTTGTCAGCAGAGTGTCGTGCTAGCGGACAGATTTTCTCCAACACGCCTCACCCCTCTTGGCTTCCATTTATCCAGAGATATTTTGCTCTGTTGACAAAGTTAACCGACTGTCATCTGAAACAGCTTTAGAAGCAACCTGTATCCCTGCCACAGGTACAGTACCAGGAAGTAGAGCCATCCCGTGTGTGTGTGTGTGTGTGTGTGTCCTGTGTCATCTTCAGCATTTCCTGTGTTGCTTGCATATGTTAATAATACATAATGATGCACCTCGTGGGTGGATGGTGTTAGCTATTTTGCATGCACAGTTTTATGCATATTAAACAGCACTTTCTCAGCTTGATTTGCATACCTTATGTTGAGCATATCCCCAGAGCACACAAAGCCAAAACATAACATTTTTTTCCTACTCTTAGGCCAAATTAAATTAGCACAGTCAGCGTTGTGGTCGTCTGTAGTAAATGACCTTAATTTCATTACGTGACGCACCGACACCATCCATTTCACAGTCTCTCAAACACTGTGGTGTTCCTCTAATTATGTGAAAGGATCAAACTGTGGCTTGGGGTGCAGTAGAATGGATTATAATAGACTCGGAAACGCTGCCTCCTCCAGGATTGCCGGTGGAAACTGTTCTGCTTTGACCCTGCTGGTAAATGCTAACACCATAGTGTTTCCCAGGGCCACGAGCAAAAGCAATTTGTTTATAATGACTTAACACTGTTGGTTTATTGATTCCCATTTGCTTGAGGACTATCTAAATATCTCCTGAAACAGTTTTCACATTTCTGTGTGTTTTACAGCTTCGTTCACATGCCTAGAGCGAAGGAATAAGAGATAAGGTGTGATATTGACACGTTTGGTTAAACAGTGTTGGGTTGATACGATGAGTGACCTGTAGGTGAGAAGTGTTTGCAAAAACAACAGTAGAATGAAAGTCTCATCTCAATGTCTATGTGTGTAATCAGTTTGCATTGATTGACTTCAATGGAATATTATATATACATACAGTATGTATATATATATTTACACTCAAATGACAAACATTGGATAATTTTACTATAGAGGGAGCTCTTGTCTTCTTTCTCTACTTCTTTACATTTTCTCTGGTGTCTTCTTTTCATCTGGTTTAATATTATGATAAAGAAAAATCAGGGAGTGAAAATAAATCTTTGTATATAAAGTATATATACGATGAAGGCAGGACAGATTGGGTGTGTGTATGACTTTGAGATTTCAGGCAGTAGTGGATTAAAAAAACACAACGCTACTGCAACGGATAGAACCTCATGGCTTCAGGGCTGCTTTGGAAAATCATTATCCCTTTAACCCACCTGCTGCTGCTTCAGAAACACTCCCAGAAACTGCATTGCAGGGACAGAGCCATACATCAGTTTTGTGCTGAAACTTCAACCAAACGAAGATGAAACAATGAAAATGCTCCCTGTGTGCTGTGATTCAGCAAAGACTCGGGACGAGCCGTTAAAAAACAAAAAAAAAACAGATTTTAAATCTACCTGACGTAAATGAAAAGATTCTCCAGACGGTCGTCATGTGGTGGTGCATCAGTGACCGAGCCACTGAGGAGCCGCGTTTATGGAGACACATCATTGATACTGGATACTTTGGAGTGTGTTTTTTCCAGGTTTTTTAGTTTCCTTTCACAGAACACCAACGTTACGGATTAAATTAATTGTTCAGGAAAAGTTAGGAAGTGCCATAGAAGAGCTGAGACTGAATAAGGAGTGTAGACACATAGGTTAAAAAACCCCATTAGTAATAATGAAAATCAGAGTCAGAGTGAAATCACCAGACTGTGTTTGTCCTGTTGATAACTGCAGCATGGCCGTCCTGGGGGAAATACAGACAATGTTTCATTGTGTTGTGAGATTAGAAAACAATAATTACTGCGTCTAGTTCTCATTCAAATGAACAAGACTGGACATGACAGGATCAGTGATGCCACTGGTGCCAGATCCATTAACTCAGACGCATTTAATATTCAGTGTAGCAAACAAAACTGACAAACCGCTGTGTACGTGACTGCTGACGGCAGCGTGTAGACCGCGACGGGTCACGATTTTGTCCATAATTAAACGGGACGAGAAGTGAGTCCACTAGTTGTCATGTTGGCGTAGTGAGGCAAATTGGAATCTGAACACGATAGTTGACTGAAACAAACATGAGGCAAACAGGCAGAAAAAGATCTTTATAAAAGATGGATGTGTCGCCTGGAAATTAATGAAACATTTCATGATGTGTTCATTTATTTACAACTTTTTTTTACAACTTAATTATTAGCATTCCAGGTTTACTGTAGCCAATCACAGCAATGTTCACCAGTTCATCACTGGGCCACAAACAAACATTCACACACACACACACATTCACACCTGTGGTCAGTCAAGAGTGATCAAATAAAACAAACAACAATTGACCAAATCCTTTGTGTTTTTGTGGGAAAACAGAGAAATCTACTTTTAAAATATATGTGATGTATTTAAGTTATTGATGGTTTTTCTTTTAAATTAAAATGTTTTACTTTTTGCTACAATTTCAAAACCTCTCACAAAGTCTCAAGTGTACTTGACAAAGATATAATTATAAAGTTGTTTTAGGCTTGACAGATGTCTTCACCAGTTCTAGTTATTAGTATGTCGAAGTAAAGTGTGCAGAAGTCCTTGTTGTTGAAATGTGTTTGTCTCCTAAAAAAAACTCTTGGGAAGAATATATGGAAACTCCAGATTTCCTGGATTCTGATGTCAGCGTTCCTGCGACGAGGCTCCGTCTTTGTCCGACTTCACCTTCACGTCTCCTTCTCTCTACCCCGCAGCAAATCCCTAATGCCCACAAAGACTGGGTGTGTGCACTGGCCTACGTTCCGGGCCGACCTATGCTGCTGAGCGGCTGCCGAGCCGGTGTGCTGAAGGTGTGGAACGTGGACAACTTCACCCCCATAGGAGAGGTCAGGGGTCATGACAGCCCAATTAACGCCATCTGCACAAATTCAAGACAGATCTTCACTGCCTCCAGGTAAGAATACAGTGTGAAGCACTGAGCTTTTCATCAAACTGTCCTGACTGGGCCCAGCTGGTTGGACATAATCAGGCCTGCTCTAATACGGGGGTGTGATGATTGAATTTGGATCGACTTTAACTTGAAGTATTTATCAATTACATAGAGCCTGGTGCATTTTTCATTTTTCATCTTGTCCTCAAATTCCATAAAAGACGATAACACGGCAAATCTACTAAAAGAGTTTTACTAACAAGCAGTCACAGTTCTGCAGGTAACGACAGTAAATGACATTTCTGCCACTGTGATATAATTATGTTGTTTTAGCTCAGTCGTATACAGAAAAAAATGACTGAAAACAAAACACATCTGTGCTGCTAAAATAAACCTCTGAGTTCATGACTGAATTTAACAAGAGCTCCAGCTAAAGAAGGGACGATGAGGAGGATTATGGGAATATTGGATGGAATCGGTCAATGATTCCCAAAATCTTACGTCAGCACCCACACCCCCCCCGCCCCCCCTTTGTAGATAGGACTATTGTGGAGTACCCCCCCATGTTCATGTAAAACACTGATTTCCTGCGCCCCCACCTGCCTTCTGCAATGGCTCAGTGTCCTAAGGTGGACCCTGCCCCCCACTTTGGGAACCACTGGAATAGTGGGAGTTGAGCGATGGATGATATATCAGGGTAGGATAAAACACGAAGAAGGCGAACACGAAACTACGTTTTTTCTTCCTCTAACATTTCCTATTTTTCCTCTTCTTCTTCTTTGTCTTCATCCTTTTTATGAATGTGTATTTGCTGAGCTGAACGCTGCCTCACACCATCGTTAAACTAACAAATATTTAAAGGCGTCATCTTCACCCTCCGTCCCTCGTACTTCTCCTGTCTCCTACTTTGTGGCGTAACCTTACTGCCCGTGTCAACAACATTAAACTCTGCTGCTCTCCTGTCTTTCTGTCTCTTGTTGCCGTCTCTCACCTCCTCACCTTCTCCCCTCTTCCCTCCTTTCCCTCTCTCCGTCTCGTCGATTCCAGTGACTGCAGGGTGAAGTTGTGGACCTATGTGCCTGGCTTGACCCCGTGTCTTCCACGAAGGGTTCTGGCCATCAAGGGTCGGGCTACAAGCCTTCCATAATTGCCTCCTCTCTGCTCATCAACCCTCATTTCCTCTGGTATTCTCTTAAACTGACTTTCTTCTCCCTCCTGTTTTCATTTGCACCTCCTCTGTTTGCTCCCCCTTTGTTCTAGACTGATTTTTTTTTCTTATTTAAATGTATGTGGTTGTGTTGTCTGTGAGAGTTGTTGCTTTTTATGCAGACTGGTGTCTTATCAAAGACGGACATCTCTGATAAATACATGCCCTGTTGCGTTTATTTTTTAATTTTTTAAATGATGTTTGTTTCCTAAAATTAGTTAAAAAAATTATGAAAAAATTAATTTAAAGATTTATTGAAGTGTTTTTTCCTTTAACTGCTGTAGATGGATGGTACTTGACATAATGAAGGAGAGCTTGGAGAAATATGCCGTCTAATTTTAGCCTCTTTGCAGTGTTTTGCATGCATCGATTTCAAATTAAGTTTCTTAGCAGTCAGTAGTGTTAATTAATTTAATGCATGGGCAGTGACGTATTAATACATAGCTCAATGCAGTATGCTGTATGTTGAATAATTTACACAGTGTATCTCCTTTGCTCTGATACACAGTCACACATTGTAAATTGAAGCACCAGATTCTTAAAATAATAGCTGAACTTGTGGGTTCTTCTTCTTCAGGTCAGATCGGCCTCATCAAGCACAGCCTAATTATAACCTCTCCGCCTAAAATACAAACAAGTCACTGTCAGGATGCACATTATTGACGAAAGAAGCCAAATTTTGAGTTATATCGCTAAATTTTTTTTTTCACATTTTCCACATTAATAATCTTCATCTTTTGGCCTATTTCTCTCTCTCTCTCTCTCTCTCTCTCTCTCTCTCTCCTTCCAGTGACAAGACTGTGAAGATCTGGCTGTCAAAGGTGTTGAGGAAGAGGTGACAAATGAGGGACAACTGAAATAACTGCTGTGTTTGTCAGCTCCGTCTCCAGCCTCAGGTCGGTGACCTGCTCACTTCTGGCCCAGCGAAGTCACAGTTTCCAAGGCGATCACGGCGTTTTCTTCTTCTTCTGTTTCCATTCTTTGCCCCTGTGCATAATGTTATTACACGGAGGAACATGTTTTCTGGGGCGAAAGATGATTCGCCTGCTCTATGATTTTTGTTTCTTTTCTGTAAACCTCATTTAAAAAGTGCCACTCATTCTTTACGGACAAGACAGGATCAACATGTTCTTCACCGCGGATGTTGGCTTCTCTGCAGGCATTCAGACACCACCGAGTGTCAGGAAAATGAAGAGGAGAGGAAAACGTAATTTGTCTTCTTTGTCAAGGTTTTGAAAACTTAGGAAACAAAGAGAGATGAACATGTGTCTTCACACATCTGTCGTCTGTAAATGGAAACTACATTTACATTGAAAGGCCAGAGTCCACGTACAGCCATGTATAAAACTGTCTGTTCAGTCAGGACTGAGTCGGTGTTGGTGGTCGCTCTGATGAACAACACACTGGAGATGTGTGTTCATCACAGCGAATGATCACTGGACCGTTGCTCGTCTTACATCACTGGCGAATTTCACAGAAGGCCATTATTTCATACGGTTATCGCTGAAGCTTCATTACATTTTTCGGTTTCGTTTGTGCCTGTATTTTTATTTATTATCTTCTCCTACCTCAGTTCTTTTGGACTATTGTGCGAGGCGAGAGGGAAGTTTCTTACGGGTTTCAAACACCTGGTGCTCGACGATGTCAACCTTCACGCGCTGAACTCATCGTCTCCGTGTGGATGTCTCCTTCGTGGCTCTCAGACTCTTTAGCTGCTGCTGACCTTGCTAACATAAACAGCACACATCCAGTGGCACCATTACAGAGAACACTGCCCCCAAGAGAACATGACCAGATTGCATTGTCGGCTGTCTGAAGTGCTAACTGGCACAAACTAGGAAACGTCGCACACATGACTCAATAACATCCAGATCTGATGACTTCTCCTTTTGTGGAGTTTTGCCAGATTATTATCTCAACATCCTTCAGCGGCTCGTGCCGTCCATTTATGCTCTACATATAAGACGCCGCCGTATGGGGACACACACATCCTTCCCAGATCCTGAACTTCCCTGGGAAGATAATTTAATTGGACGTCTTGCAGCTCTGCCCGCTGCTTCCCAGTCAGGATTACACGGAGGAAATTAGGTCATAACTGAGAGGGATTTCTTATTAAAGCCCTGGTTTTTTTTCTTCTTCTTCTTCTTCTTCTTCTTCCACCCACGCTCTACTGCTCCATTTAAGGAACAGAAAGATGCTCTCTGTTTATGTGGAAGATTATGTGCATGTGAAAAACATGCACTGATGCCCAGGCTGCACGTACGTGTCACACACTAAATTTCAGCGGATGTTCTGGTTTTCTGAAAAGTGTTGGCTCCACTCACTGTGTTTATTCATTGCTGTTCTCCCGTGGTTCAGTCGTGCCCATTATTTTCCAATGTGCGTGCTGTTTAATAACAAGCGTTTGCCATCACCTGGCCTCATCTCACAGCTCTTAGTTACCCAGATATTATCAGATCTAAAATCCCAATCCCTCAGACAGCTGTGCTTCCTGAAACAGATCATACACACATTATTTTAAGCTGCTTTCACTCTGAAAGCATTTGTTTTTAGCATTGGATGCATGATAAATGCAAACATGTCCATGGCTTACGGATGATTTGTTCAAATCTTCTAGGTTTTAATGCTGTCTTAAAGTGGAATCTCAGGTAGAAGAAGAAGGATCATCATAGTCAACTGGGACTCATTCCCACTCAAACCTTGAGTTAGAACTTATTTTATAAAAAAGAAGGTACTTATAACATGTTTTTTTGTGTAATAGTCATTTCAATGTCCTTTTGCATTTGCTTCCCTTTAATTCTAGTTTTTGCACATGCATCTACCAGGCTTTCATTGTAGAAATGTACAAAAGTATCTTGGGAAGTCGGCCAAAGTTAAAGCCTTTCAACTCTAATGCACTAATTTTTGGACTTCAGTGACTCTGTGATTCTGTATGATATTTCTGCATATGTTCACCACTAGATGGTACAAATGTGACCATTAGGATCATTAACTGCCCAGTGTTACAGGTGCTGTGTGTAAGTCAGCCTGTACTGGTATTTTCACTGTAAATCAGATGTTTGTCTGTGCCATTCAGTTTGAACTGCAGCAGCCGAGGGATGATGGAAGGATGATGGACGGACGAGGACGCTCTTACTCGTCAGTGTAGTTCTACTCTGTCATGTGTTCTCTGCTCGTACATTAGCTTTTAGTTTTTATTGCTTGTTCATTGGAGGAGAAGGAGAGTGGTGTTTATTTGAAATTTCATTGGATTTGTTTGTTTTTTAACAAATCTGTATTAGGTCTGTATTAGTCAAACGACAGCCTTCGTCTGTCACTTCCACTCAAACCCAGAACTATGGTGTCGACGCCACTTGTTTGTGTAAATAGTTTGCATCTCAGCTTTTTGTGCTAACGAAGCAGATACAGTTGAGGTCAGGTGACCACTGTCTGAGCTGTTGGCCTCAACATCAGGATTCTTCAGCATATTTGATACTGAATTATCAAAAATAGTCAACAAATGTTCTGAGCCTAGTTTTGATCTATCCTATCAAGGACCGAGTTCCTGAAATACTTAGACGTCTGACACTGAGAACTCGCTGATTTGTTTACAAGGGTTTGAAAACGAAAATGTTGAAAACCAAATATTTCTGACGGTGGGAGTCGTCAGTGGAGGTTGAGGATGAGGAGAATCTGATCTAACACAACTGGAGACGTACAGCAAAACGTCATCTCTTCAATTTGCACCAGTGGCATTTAAATAGAATTGTTTTTCCACCGCAGCTGTATAGTGGTATGCTATCTCATTTGTGACAAAGGTCGGGGTTGCTGTTTAAATAGTGTAGGGCAGGTGTAGGATTATCTTGGCTTTACCAAGCCACAGAGAACACTGGAGAAGTCGTTAGATTCACCTTTTGTGCATCATGTTTTGCATTCTTGATTGTTATCATTGATTTTTAGGTATTTTTGCATCACATGTTTATCTGGAGAAAGTTTTCTTGAGTAGCTAATTTTCATGTATAGAAACAACTATTTTCATGCAATGCAAAGCATGAAAAATGCCATTGCAACGCCTTTCATGACACCACCTGCAGGGCAGGGAGGGGAACTACTTGTCTTACTGACCAGATTTAGCATTTTTCTACTTATTTGTCCCTACTCTATGATATAAAGCTAAATACATTTAGCAATCGGTCTTTCCAGGCTAGCATTAAATACATCCTTCACTTAGCATCAGAGGCTAATTGAAGGTGAAATGTGCTAAAGCAGCAGCACATCAGCTCACTCTCTTATAAATTATGTTACTAGTTAAAGCACACTTTGTTTTTGTTGTTTTTACAAATATACATGTCCATCAACACGTTTTAATAGATATTTTTCAGCTTTTGTTGTGTTGCAACTGAGAGCCAAGCAGACTGCACTGATTTTCGCAGGTTAACAAATATCAGCATCTGGTGCTTCAATCACTTCCTCCTCTCATCAGTGTTAGACCATGTGACAGACTGGAGAGCGACGCTGCCTCATCAAAGTACCTGTCACATCGCTCCCTTTGACTTCCCTTCAACACAGCCAGTAAATAAAACCTTCAGTCGTCAGTGTCTCGGCTTCAGCCTCACAGCAGCAGAACGTCTCTGTGGCACGTTGACAATCAATCACTCCATTTCCTCAATGTGTATCAAAGGATCCTAGATGGTCCTGCAGGTAATAATTCTGCTTCTTTGTCAGACCGTGACTCGCTCTGTCGATTACGGCTGAAAAGACTTTCAACGTTGCCTCGGGCTGGAGTTAGCGGTACGACACGATCAAGATGGCTGCTGATCAGGAGAGCACTTAACTGCTCTGCTGCTCGTCTGTGAATCTCTATCCAACACCAGCACACTCCTCTGTAGCTGCTCACCAGTTTACTCCGTGTGTGTGTGTTGGTGTGTGTGTGTTCTCATGTTAGTTGCGTCGTATTTAGCTCACGTCCAATCATTGAACCCCCTGACACGTGCTGTGAATTATGAACTGATGGGACTTAAAAATGCAGGGTCAAAGGTCATGTGTGCCTTTAATTGCACTGACTACTCCCTCACACACATGTAAATGTGTGTACAGTTTTTTTTAATGTGCATGCAGCCAGGCCATGTAAAATATGTGTCATTTGTAAATATTGTAAAAAGATATTTAATGACAGTGAAAACATCCCTTCAAGAAAATAAACACTCCATTAAAAAAATAAAAAAAGGATGTTGTCGTTTTGTGTTTAATACCAGGTCTGTTTCTGGGAGAACTGTTTTTTTAAACACCAACTATAATTTTGTTCCTCTCACCCAACGCCTGTTGACATTTTTAACTCACACGTCGCCAACTTTTCCACGATGCCTTTTTGAACCTGAGAAAAACTGTTTGGAACATTTTTTGGGCTGACTGACAGTTTACAGCTTAATGACAGAAAATGTGAAAAAGTTTTTCATGGTGAGTTTTTTTTTCTTACAAAAACCTTAAAAAAGGACAGAAATAAAAGTTCCATCGATTTCATATACCAACACGTAGGAGGAATCAAACAGGTTTTCATATTTATTTCATTTTTTTGTGGCTTTTTTTTGGCAGATACTTTTTCTTTTACATTATTTTTTTTAGAAACAAATGATGCACAAAATCTCTCCACTTTAATGAGACCTTTGATTTAGAAACCAAAATGGTGTATTTAATTAAAAGTGAATTAAGAGTTATCCTAATATAAACAGTCGGTGTAATTGGATAATATTGTAATATATTTCTAGGAACATTAAGTGTTTTGTTCTGCATTTGAAATTGAGTACTCAAAGAGGGGGGCGGGCCCCTTGGGGGGGGCGTTAGGGGCTTCCAATGGAATATGCATATGGACATAGGTGAACCACTGCTGTAATGCTTGAATGATAACAAGCCTCCAGTCACTGGCAGCAACTCATACAGTAAGGAAAGATGGAGGAGCAGCATCGACCAGGTGCTGCTGATTTCACAAGATTTGAAGGACGTTGACCTGATGTGGTTCAAATCTGTCCGGATTAAAAAAAGAAAAAAAGCACATTCATTCAACACCTTTTTTGTGAGAGGTAATAAAACAAAAAGCAAAGAGACTGAAGACGTCTTCTTCTCTTCCCTCACAGATGGACGAGGTGTTTATTGATTGCTCCGTGCCAACAGACAGACAGTCAGGTCCTAAAGGATCGATGTCGATGTCACTGGGATGTTTTCACTCACATACATTCCATTATTCATCAGAGCTGGAGAGAGACTCAACCAAACTCTACATCTTCATCTCCTCTGTAAACTGCAGTCATCAACTCATGTAAGCTCGCTGTTCCAGCTGCCGCGACAGACGCCAGTGCCGTGATGTACGACTATCGTTAATGTCTCCGAGGAGGCAGCAGCCATTTGAAGCTGCCACTCACAAACAAATAAACATCCATAAGAAACGTCGTGTCCGCCCAGCTGTACGGGCTCCCTCCACTCTTAAACTCCCGTTCATTTTCCGTCTTGTTCTGAAGTCCAGACCAAACCTTTCTAAGATTTTAGTTTCTGAACAACAATAACTCCCATGTCTGCCTCAGCTCTAATTTCTTTTTTATGCTAATAACCTGCAGCAACAAAGTGTCGTGGAGACCGTGTCGGCGTGTGCCACCTGGGCTCCCAGAAGACATTTCTCCTCCAAGAAACTGAAATATCTTTAATTTCAAGTACCAGGTTAATACCTGATGGTTTTTTGCTTCTTACATGTTTTTTTTTTTATAGATGCAGGAAAATGTTGAAGAAGAAAAACAGTCATCAACTGACCGGCGGACATCAAAGCTCTATATTTCCCCCAGGAGTGAGAACAGGGCAGAGCGGAGGCCACGGCTGCGTCAACACAAACATTGAAATCACACAGTCATTACGTTGACATTAACACAAAATGAATGCTGCCTTCAACATCAGGCAGACATGAAACAGAAACATACACAGAGTAAAATAAACTGACCTGAACCTGATGTGGTCAGTTTTAAAAGCAATATTGATGAGGTACTTTAGTCACATTTATGCAAAAATGTTATTCTATTTTTTTACAACTCTGTTGTCAGGTCTGTTCTGGGTTAATCAGTGTCATCACTCTCAGCTGTGTCCTGTGATTCTCCCTGTTCATCAGGCTCACTCGTCTCACCTGGTGTCCTGGGTATAAATACCCCTGTGCCCTCTGGACTGACCAGTGGTTCCCTGTCGCCCCTGATGGATTCTGGTGTTGGATCCTGATCTCCCTTCAACCTTGAACAGGATTGGATCTCTGATGGATTCTGGTGTTGGATCTGATCTCGGATCCTGATCGCCCTTCAACCTTGAACAGGATTGGATCTTTTGGCACAACATGAACTCTGTAAAAACAAAGGTACAAACAACAACATGTTTCAAAGCTGTTAAAGTCTAAGAGTTAAAATGATAACGATGAAGATGTTCTTTTCTCTAGCTTTAAATAAATATAGTCCACAAAATGTTATTTGAAATCAAATATTTTTTCTTCTGCCCCAACTACAATCTTAAACAGTCTTTGCCAACATGAGTTGTCCAAACAAATGTGAAAGGAGACTGAATTCATATTATTCTGGATTTTCAAACCTTACAAATACATAAACACTGTTGTCAAATCAGACTTCAGTCCTGCTTTTTATTTTAGTCACTCATAAAAACTAAGAAGTATTCAGTCGAAGATTGACTGTAGCAGTATGTTAGCAGAAGAGTTTTCTAGATAAGAGTAATAATAACAACAAGAATGTCTCCTTTGTCTTTCTGTAATTCATGGAGGAAAACTGCATATCAGCACTGGATTATGTTTTTTAATAATACATGTTTAACAGATGAGGTTACAGTTCCAGAGATGAGATACAACTCATATAAATTTACACCTAAAGTAGGGCAACTGTGGGAGAGACGCCGCAGGAGACGAGCCCAGCGTGGACGGCTCACTTCAGAGAAGGAGCTCAAAGGCAGTTTTAAGTAATGAATGTCGTTAAAATGGAACCGTCAGATGTTCACAATGAGCGTCTGCAGAACTGGACAGGACAAAGCCGTGGCCTATCAACGCGGCCTAATCCTATTGTACACGGTCTCTTTGAATCCACTTTTACACATCACACACTGTCCACGCAGCCAGGCTTAGGGACATCAGAGGGACGAGCAGTCCTTCATCAACATGGCTGGGTAATTGAAAATGCTGTGTGTGTGGGTGGGTGGGGGGGGGGGGGGGGGGGGGGGAGTCATAAATGTTTATAACTTGTTTAATATTTCATTCATCCAGAGTTGGGTCACATTCATGTTCATGGTGTCGTGGTGATGATGTTTAGACTCGAACTGTGACGGCGCTGTGATGTCACTGACTGTCTCCTGCAGCGTCATCTGGAACATGGAGTCATGATAAAGGGGGAAATTCTTTACATGTTACATGAGATAAAACAAATCTGCAATGTAAATAAGTTTGTTTAGATAAATCTTATAAATACATATTACACTATTAGAGGTTGCAGGAGATAAATTCTATTAATAATAGAATTAATTAATAACAGAGGAGAACGAGGGGCCCATCGAGAGCCCACAAACTGGTGGTCAAATAAAGACCCACCGAGAGCCCACAAACTGGTGGTCAAATAGAGGTTCATACCACTGACCTTCTTACTGTAAGGCACTCACATCAACCACTACATTACTAAAAAACATAATGCTGATTTAGGATTTTTTATTTGCACTAAAAAAATAAGAAACAACGATACATCACATATGAAACAGAAAAACAACCATGATTTCATTTGTCTTCACAGTGTTTTTCACTTTGTCTTCTTCTGTGATTCCTTCTCCTTCGCAGACTCTTTGGTTTTCCTCCAGGGCAGGACGTTGTAGGAGACCAGAGCTGTGATCAGGTACGTAGCCATGCCGGTGTATCCTCCTATCACCAGACACAGTGGTTGAGCCAGCACAAACAGACAGAACACATTCATCGACGCCCGGTCGTCCAGCTCCACCCGGTCGTCCTTCGACGCTTGCATGACGCCAAAAAAATACATCAGAGCAACCCCTGGGTAGAACGCCAGCTCCACCATGATGAGGACCTTTGGATTTTAGAAGAACACGGTGTTGGTTTTTACAGGTCCAGTTGACTACAGCCGACAGAATCGAACTCTTACCTGCAGCTGAATTTCCTCTGAGTCCCAGAGAGAAGTCAGTGAAGTGTAGTAGTTGATGTTGAAGGAAGCACTGACCTTTGAACCTTGAGTACATGAATCCTGTCAAACATTATCCACCTGCAGTATTTCTTATCAGGTCGACACGACATATCTTGGAAAAGATTTCACAAATTTAAATCTGTGATAATTATTTAACAGACATAAGAACGAAAGACTTAAAAAAACGTCTCCCCTGCTACTGTACATAAGCTCAGACGATCTGTCACCATTTACAGCCAGGAACTATTATAGAAAGATCCAGGGTGTCTGTGGGGTCAAGGGGTCAAGTGTAAAAGCGTATTATGAAATATACAAAAAATTTATTTTATTTTAGTATAAGTTTTAAAAGTCTTTCAAGAACTGGGTTGTTATTCCACAAAGTGAAGCTGCACAAATAAAGTTTGGTCAAATTGAAACTGACAGGGATATTAAACAAAAAACAAAAAACAAACGAATACATTTTTTTTTTTTGGAGTGACATTTAAACTGGATATTTTGAATAAAAAAAGAGTCAAGGTTTCCAGTCTGTTGTCTGCCAACACTGGTGTATTACATCAGAGGAAGAGCAAAAAAAGCTGCAGAAAATATTTCCAACTCAAGCACCTCTCAGCTGCTGAGAAGACGGAAGAATAAGAAAAGCAAAGACGTGATTATCGATTTGAGCCGAGGCTCCTCTGATTATTAACCATGTTTACAGCGTGGCTGCTCTGGTGATGTATCGACGGCAAACCATGGATTCATAATAGCAGTGAAGATTTTTGAGTCTGTTGTTGTGAAAACAAAGAAGTCTAGAAGTTTCCTGACGAATTCTGAAATGATTTTATGTTGAGTTTTATTCTTCTGTATTTGAAGTCGATCATTTTATATACAAAACAAAGGAAATAGGGATGTTACTGTCTGTCATGGTTGAATATCAGGTGAGTTCATGTGCAGCTTAATGAAGTCACCCACTGCACTGTTCTGGGATCAGTGAGGACATTTACTGTAGAGTCAGGCTGCAGGTGAAGGATGTTCTGGACTCTGGTGTCTCTGGAGTCTTTCCGTCTTTTGTCTCTCTCATGGTTTTTAATGTAGACGTTCTAAATTTATAATATTTGTTTAAGTTTGATTTCTTTCTTTTGGAGTCAATTTGTTCCTGGTCACTACTGCAGGAACGTTTACCCTCAACAACACATTTCTCTGGTCTGCTGCAGGATCTTGGCTGCTGCATCTCTGGACACAGACCTCAGACGTTGCATTTGCATCAAGGCAACACTTTTAACTTTTTTTAATGATGAAATGAGAAGCACTATGAAGATGGGACACCATATGTAACGTTAAAATCAGAAGCTGACAACGAGTCGTCTCAGCCCCAAGACAGAAAGGCAGATGAAAGAGCAAGAAACGCTCTGTCAGAAAAGCCGGAGCAATTTTTTTGGCTGCAGTTAAAAATCAGAAAACACAAAAACAACATGTGGTGCGTTTATGGTCCTCCGCATTTGTGCCCTGAAGCTGAAAGGCTTGTTTCCAGCATGAGAGAGGGAAGTCTTAGTCAGTGAGCTGTGCATTCTACACTAAACTGTCGCACGGTGGCTACGACCAACGTCAACAGTTTACTAATCAGGATCTGAGGTGTAGGGGGACGTGTAGATGCTCTGAGTCCTTGTTAGTCTACAAAAATTCTAAGAAATAATATGAGAAATATGACTCAAAGTTAATTACAACCGTACTTAACTCTGTGTTAATTAAATTAAAACAACAGATAATTGTTGATCAGTTTTCTAACTAACTGCCAAACTGACTATGTTTCATTCAATGAGTGTTGTGACCATATCGTAAATGGCCACCAGGGGCAATTATAGCCCTTCATCCAGAGTGGTGACGTGGATCCACTACAGAACAAACACAACAGAACATTATTCACCGGCAGAAAAGTTTGACTATGACTATTTTTTCAAACAACGCAGTAATTTAAAATAAACTATGTTAAAAAAAAAACCTGAACCTAACGCATGACTTCTGCAATTATTCACTGGTGCATTTTTAGAAGAAAACCTGCGTCAGTGAAATGTTTATACATCACTTAACAGACTTAAGCATCTGAGTTACATAGTGCTGCTGGAAAAGTGATTATTTTTACATCGTGATATTTGTGGAGGCTCTCATGTCGATTCCAGTTCTTGATATTCCCCTAATGCTGCAGCCCGAGGGCTCGTCAGTTCACGATCAGCCCAAATAGTTATGTGGGGATTAAGTCTCAGCATGGTATTTGGAAATAAATCATCTTCTGACCGCGGCTTTGATTTTCTGTGTAATGAGACACCCTTTGAATAGAATTAAAAATTAAGTCACTGGAATAAAAGTCACTGGAATACAACTTTTGTTCTGAAGTTTAAAAAAAAGCCCCAGGGTCCTTTAAAAAAAGCCCCGCTATGAATTAGAGTCCACTGCCATAAACAAGGCAACCAGGAGGTAAAAAACAAAATGACAAAAAAAAACCAAAACAAATCAAATGAAGGTGGCCGTTGGAGGGAGAGCTCAGCTCATAACCATGGCTGGAAGGAGATGCTTTTTATTCATCTCTAAATTTTCTGATGACTTTAGGCAAAGGATGGTGTTGTAAAGTTGTCAAGTTTGTTGTTTATGTAAAAAAAAAAACGTAATTAGAGTTTGTTGACATCAGTTTCAGAGTACAGTCCCTCCAGCTACACAGATCATCAGCCACTCAGCAGTATAACACCCAGTACTTCAGCCTGTCCTGCTGGGATTGACAACTGACTCAGGCGCGTCAGTCACTGGTCAGTTTCTGGGCTCTTGATACATCACTGTAGTTCCTGTGAAAAACGTAATATAATATAATATAATATAATATAATATAATATAATATAATATAATATAATATAATATAATATATATATATATTATATATAATATAACAGTAGTTGTCATAGTGATTATACAACCTCTTGCAGTTGCAGTGTTTTTTCATGTTCCCATTGCTTCGTAACGTGTTTTTGTATTATTTTATCATTCATTTAAATAGCTCTCATGTACTGTATGTCACATAGGCTCAGTAACTGAGAGGTGCTATCACCTTACTGTAGTGACAGATGTACTTCTACATGGAAACACTGTTAAAAAATAATATTACAGCAATCATTTCTGTGATTTCACAGTGAACATTTTCACAGATGACTGGTGGATCAGGTCAGCGTTACACACTGTGTGTATCCCTGTTTCACATTATATCTTCTTCTGCTTATATCTGTCGGAATAGGCTACAGATCCCATGTCATTGATAATCAATTCTATTGTTTCTTTTAATAGTACAAAATCTTTCCTCCATTTTCTGCCTCCCTCTCGCTAATAAACCCTCCCCCAGTCTTGTCAGATAAGATCACCCAACAACACCCACTAAAAAGGCAGAGTACACTCACTAACCACTACAAATAAGATAACAGGATTCCAAATTTTTTGTTAAAAAGCACATACGTTGCCCTGTCATTTGCCTGACAGGGCATTTGTCTGTTTTTGCATAATTGCTTCCAGAAAGGCGATATTTTTGGACAGCATGACGCAGGGAAGCACAAACACAGTAATTAGTGCTGAAGAAACTGCAGGAAGCCGAGAGAATAGGACGCAGAAGGAGGAAAAGGGACACTTGAATTCCCTATGGTGTTATTAATGTCCCTGGCAGCACAATGCATTGACCACCTCCTGGTCCGCAGCGATCGAATGGCGATAGCAGTTAAAGACAATATGCAACATTTGTCAGTCTTTACTACTGTAACAGATTTTCTTTAAATCAATATGTCACACAGCTGTACCGTATGAGAGAATGTCACTGAAGAAACCCTATGGTTTATTAGAATTTCATAGGTCTAGCGCACATGTGTCAAACTAAAGGTTCGAGGACCAAATGTGGCCCGCCAAGTCATTTTGTATGGCCCGCAGGAGCTCTCCTGGGGAAAATGAGTATGACACCCCTGATCTGGAGAATAATTGGTTGGAGATTATTTACTAAAATATAACTTAATAATGTTGGAGGAACTTTCATTTAGTATTCCCTTAAGTGCAACAAATAGAAATAAAGTAATGTTCAAAATAATGAATATGCCGTGCAAGAAATGTTACAGTTTTTACTCTGACCCCACCCTCCAGTGATGCCAGTGAAATCGAACACACAGGATATAAAACACCATCTGTTTTACCAATGGTTGAAATGCTGCAAATGTCCAAGACAATCACTGCTGTGGGTCAGTGGTTCTGCCCCCCCCCCCCCCCCCCCCCCCCCCCCTCTCTCCTCCTCTTCTCTTCTCCCACTCACCCTCCCCGCCCCCCCCCTCTGTCTTTTCTTTATCCTGTGCCTTCACTCCCACCGACCCAGTCTCTGGAACATCTGCAGTAACGTTCTCACCCACACTAAACACCGAGCTCTTAAAATACATGAATCATCCTGAAGAGGAAGGGCCGGTGCATGTACGTGTGTTAGCGTGTGTGTTTATCTAGTATTCGTGTGCTCTTTAGTAACACATGAGTAAAATAATGGTGTTTTTATATGTGACCAAGCACGGGTGTGTAATCAGTCCTGGGGTGGAGAGCTGTGTGGGCAGGAGCATCCTGTGTCCTGCTAAATTGATCTCTAAATCCAGACGCTGCGTGTTCTGTGTGGAGCTGCTTCTGCACCGATTTATGAAGAAAGGAGATAAAATGGTTTAGCGCTCTGAGTCGCCGTGTGTGTCTGTGTGTGTGGTGAGGGAGTAAAAAGGATAGAGACAGACAAAGAATCAGACAGAAAAGTGACGGAAAAAACAGTTTTTTACCTGGCACGTGTCACAACAACACATGTATAAATGCAGGTTGAAAAGATTTGAGTGTGAAAGGAAACGTTGTCTTCTGTAAACAACAACACAACAATACCAATGTTATATTACCACAGGGTGACAGAGGTCGTGTTGTGTTGTATTCGTTGTATGTAAATCATTTATGGTTCTAGATTCGTGTATTACTTTGGCGCCTATTTGTGGACATTTGACTAAATTAAAAGTACTTTCATGAACAGAAATACTGCAGTTCATCAGAAATACAACAACAGGTGTCACGGCCAATCAGCAGATGATTTCACTCCTGCAGTTTGTGCAGGGTGCAATCTTAGAGAAGCACTGATCAGAGCAGCCTGGTGGGACATGGACCAGAGGAGCAGATTAAACCACCTTTAATCTGGTTCCTAAAGACTAGGTTATGTTGTTCTCAACAAACGTTCTTGTACCAAGAATGACAATGTTTTTTTTAATCTAAGTTCTTCCAAACTGCAGATTTATGACATATTTCATTTACTATTCATTTCTAATTCGATTTACATTTATGTTTGCATTTAGCAGATGCTTTTATCCAAAGCAACTTACAGAGGAGGAGGAACAATCAAGCATGTGGTTCTTCTGGGAATCGAACCTCGTTCTATAGATGTCATGTCCTTGCCCCTTCACCATCTAAATTCCCTGGTAAGTGTTTGTGTTCCTTTTCTTTTAGTCCAGTAGTATTTGAAGGTTAGCAGAACTAATGTTATATTACAGCCAGGGAACTGTCCAGGGGAGTGGTGCTGAAACGGGACTGTCCACGGACTCAGTTAAGACCAGTACTGCACTAATGTAGGGTTTCTCTAGTAAAGATGACCTTTAAAAGTATTTATACTTCAACCACGCCAACTCCCCACCCTGTATTAAGCAAATGATGAAACGCCAGCATGGAGATATGAGTCAAAAAAATAAATAAAAATAAATCAATACAAAGTACATTTACTGATTGGCAAAATAAAAGTATCATTGTGTATTTATGACCATTTGGCCATGACACTGTGGTCAGTGTGATGGATACGGTCAACAGTGACACTGTGGTGAGATGAATCCATCTGGACTTTCTCCTCTGGCTGTTGTTCCACCAACAGAGCTGCTGATCACAGGATTTATTTCTGTTTTTGAACCATTATCTCTATAGTCCATTGATGGTTGTGTGGTGACATCTCATTAAATCTGTTTTCATTTGCATTATGGCTTTTTGATCTGCATCAGGAGGCAATTAAACAGGTGCAACAAAAGGCATTAGCAGAGAGTGTAAAAATGTATCGTAAATTGAATTCCATATATTTGAGTAAACTTTTTTTTTCTTTTTGCAAATGATGTCTCTATAAGAGGATCCAAATGAAATGGGAAAAGAACGAGCCTTGACAATTAACATAAGATTTGTGGAAATGATTGCAGGAAGATTGTACATGAACTGCGGTTGAAAATTACTTCTAGAATTAGTCATCAAATAACTACAGATAATTACTGCTGTTGGAATGAAATGAAATGAAGTAAAAATGAATGCATCCAGCTTTGCAAACGTCTCCATCCAAACTGCCCCTGTCAGCTCTGTCTGTCCTGGGGTAATTAGTGTCATCACTCTCAGCTGTGATTCTCTGTTAATCAGTCTCACTCCTCTCACCTGGTACTCTGGTGGAAATACCTCTCTCCCTCACCCTCTGTGGGGTCACTGTCGTTGTATGTGGTCCTGGGGTCCATGCATCTCTGCTGTGGTTCCTCTGTTGTTCCTGTACTCCAGGTATGTTTCCTATATTGTTTTTTTTTTTGTTCCTCCCTGGTGTGTGTTCCACAAGTGTGGACTCTGCTCTGTTAAATTGCTAATTTACTAAAGTTTGGAGTTTGTTTTTCACCTATCAGGTCGAACATGTTTCACCACAGAGCATTCACCTATCAGGTCTGATTTAAAGGTCGAACATGTTTCACCACAGAGCATACAATAAATATATCAGGACAAAAAAGAAAAAGAAAATACAGACGGGGGCAGCAGCGGTACATTGACTGTATAATATATAATGATTATAAAGAGATACTATTTTGATTGTTCATTTTGAGGGCATACTCTACCCTGGAGGAATACACACATTAACACACCCACACACGTATATTAAAGTCCATGTGGGAGGAGAAGAATTGGTGGGTTGGATCTCGTGGAGCTTTTTCTCCTTACGCGCACAGACTGGAGGAGACAAAGCGCACAGATCAGTCCACGTCTCCAAGTGATGCGCAGCAACCGCTCAGTACAGGCTCCGCAACAACGACCGGTGGTGTCCAGCTGCAGCTTTTCTTTATGTTTTATTTACTTACGCTGCATGGACAGTTAGACAAGTGCGCTCCCGTTTCTCTCTCTGCGGGGGTTCCTCACCCAGTGTCCTAACTCCTTCCCTCCTCTCTCCCCGGTCTTCTTCAGTTTGACCATCTGTGCAGTGGCTGCCTCACCCGCTCGGACCGGGGACCGCCTGGTCTCTGATCTGGTCTGCGGACTCACCGGTGACTCGACGCGCTCCGGCGGCGTCAGGCTGTGTGCTTCTCGGATCAGACCCGAACCACTGCGAGGTCTGACGATGGAGATGATGGAGGGCGACGTTATGGACAAACTGGAGGACATGTCCTCGGTGTACGACTTCGACCCGTTCACCGGCAACATTCCTGCCACCAAAGTAGAAATCACCGTCTCCTGCAGGTAAGGAAAAAAAAGTTCCGTGGGTGAATGTGCACGGTAGAAAGTTGTGACCGCTGAGCCCCACCCTTTCTGTTGGGGCTGTTCAGTGGTTGTGAGACGTTCGGGAAAACATGAAACATTTGATTGCTTTTTTTTTTTTTTTTTTTTTTTGGTTATTGTTTGTTTTGCAAAAAGTGCTATGAATTCATAAAAAAACTTAATCCATATAAAATATACTCATGAAGTACCTTTAATGTTTTTGAAGCCGCCACTTGACGTGTTTACTTAAAAAATGACTGAATAATAATATAAAATAATATAATAATATCGATTTTATTTTTTTGACATGTTCATCGCTATTGTGATAGGGATGACGAGGAAAACCAGGTGGCTTTTGGTGGTGTTTTCCACAAGTAACCACAAAACCAGTAGGTGGCAGTATTGTAACTCAAAGGCTATTGTGCTGCCAGCAAAAGGAAAAGAGCCCAGGTTAGAGGGGTTAGCTCAATCAGCATAGCCTAGCCAAGGGTGCACACTGTTGTATAGGGGTATTTTCAGAGAAAATAGAAAGGCATTTAAAAATAAAAAGTTTGAAATGTCCTTCATACTTTATGGTGTTATGGTGTATGCTAATGCCCTACCTGTGTTATTCACTTTTGCTAAAATGTTTATATGGATATAAACATCTATGGCTCCAGAATCCCTGACTTCAATTTTGGTGAATAGAAACGCTCTGGTCCAAATCAGTTCTCGACTTTGAGGATCAAACTTGTGGCTTTTGCATTAAGGGAGGTTTAAAAGTCAAAGCTCTTGGAGCCTTTGGCTTGTACTGTAGGAATGCTGGAATGTGTGAACAGCTCTCCTTTGCCCTCCACCTCTCAAACACACTCAGGCTCATCTCGCTCTGGTCTTTGATGCAGGGCTTTGGCTTGGTGTACCATCCAGAGCAGAGTGGAACTGAGCTGTAACAAGGTGTGTGTGTGTGTGTGTGTGTGTGTGTGTTCCTTATTGATGTTCTCGCTGAAGTTCTGCCACATCTCTGACTGCATCTTAGAATTGCTGCAGTGAAGGAGAAAAAAACAAGACGAATGAGTGTGTACCAAGTTACTCCACGGAGCGCCTCCGGAGGAAGTGGTCAGTTTGGACCGCGGTGTGTTAGAGTTGAAGTTTCAGCTAGGTTTTGAGTTAAGTTTCTATTTGTGTGTGTGTGTCAGTGTGTGTCTTTGAGCGAGTGCTCGTCAGCTTGTAGTGATTAGGCCATTGGGATTACATGGCTCAGTGATGTGCAATTAAACATCATTCAGGTGGATGATGAGGCCTATTTGGTGATCACCCTGCATTTATGCAAATGACACCTCTGATAGCGTCTGTGTGTGTGTTTGAACGTGACCCTGATGCCTCTGCAGGACCTTTTCAGTGCAAACAAAGTGAATGTCTGGAGTTAGAAATTATCCTTTAGATTAAAGGTGCTGTCAGCTTTTAACATGCTCTAAATATCAACTTGAGATCCGCTCAGAGCGTCTGAGCCAGAGATTTTTGGGATGTGAGGGGAAACTGAAGTAACCTGGAGAACACACACAAATGAGTTGAAGCCTGTGGACCAGTAATTATTATAATCACATGTGATCAAAAATGCCCTTCAGCCTCTAAAGCCCTTCATATCCCTCATACAGTGGCAGAGTGGTTAATGCTCCTGCCATACAGTGGAGCAGACGCCTGGTTTGATGATTTGATCCCTGGTCTTTCTGTATGGACTTTGCCTGTTCTACTGTGTGTGTGTGTGTGTTTTGTGAGCTTCTTAATTATTCATTCTAAATCAGTGGGCTCACTGTAATGTCACCATAATATAATCTGAACCACTCGTCATTAGTTTTTGGCCCTTCATGGAGGTGGCAGCGGTGACAGTGACCCCCGGCACATGTGACCCTGAGACCCCTGCTCTGAACTGACCATATGTTTGACTGAGTGTAAACAATTATCTGCTTCTATATCCAGCTCTGTGCTGGACTGAACTAAAGTATCCAGGGTGTGTACCCCCCCCCCCCCCCCCCCCCTGCCCCCCCCCACCGGGGGGGTGTTCCTCACAACACCCCTCTTTGTTCG